TAAATTTGAAATATCAATTCAATAATTAAAATAATTTTAATTTTTTTATAAATACATTGAAATACATTTTTATTAACATAAAATTAATATATATATATATATATATATATATATATATCAAAAAGAGACTAAATTAATAATTAATTTAATTATTGATTATATAAATAAAAGAGACCAAATTAATAATTACTTTAATGATCGAATCAGTGATCAGATTTGGTGACTAATTTAATAATTAATTTTAATTTTTTTATTCACATACTAAATTAAAAAATAAAATCAAATAATTATATTACTAAATTATTTAATAAGTTAATAAACTATTTTTTAAAATTTTTATAATGTTATTAAAATTTTTATCAATTATTTTAAATTATTAAGTAGATTTATATTTAATATATTATTAAAATATTTTTAAAAAATATTTATATAAATAAAAAATGGTCACTAATTTATATATTATTTGTTTAGTGACTGAAATTTTAGTCACTAAATCAGTCACTATATATAAATAGAGAAATCAGTCACTGATTTAGTTACTATTAGTAACTGAATTTTTCGGTCACTAATTTCGATCATTATTAACCATTTTTCTAGTAGTGACTGATTTGGTGACCGAATCAGTGACTGATTTGGTGACCGAATCAGTGACCGATTTCTGTGACTGAAATTTTAGTCACTAAATCAATCACTAAATATAAAACGGAAATCAGTCACTGATTCAGTTATTATCAGTGACTAAATTTTTCAGTTACTAATTTCGGTCACTATTAACCATTTTTCTAGTAGTGCATAAATTAATTAAAATCATGATAATAAAATGAGATAGAGAAGTTTAATGAGAATAATTTCTCTTTATGGAAGTTGAAGATACATTTTTTTGTTGAGAAAAGACAATTATATAGATGCAATTGGAGAAAAACCTTTAGACTTGACGGATTAGAGATGGAATGAAATCAATAATAATACTATAACCAATTTGCGCTTAGCATTCACATATGTAATTTTGTCCGGCATTGCAGAGAATGATACAATGAAGGATGTTTGAGAGTCTCTCATCAAATTGTACGGGGTTAAGTCACTTCACACAAGAATCGTGAGTCTACATCGGTGATAGACCACATCAACAATCCAAATACATTGTTTCCCCAACTTTTAACGATAACTTTTAATATAGTTGAAAATGTACGCATGGAACTTCTATTTCAAAGCTTACCAAATTCGTATGATCAACTCATCATCAATATAAGAATAATAATATTGATGGGTATTCACACTGTGAGGATGTTATGAGAGTTATTTTTGAAAGCAAAAAAGTAAGATGGAAAGTTCAAATCAAGCATAGACTTTGATGATGAAAGGTAGATAAACGAAATATGACTTTAGTGGGAATCAAAATCATGGTGGATCAAATTCTCAAGGAAGGAAAAATTTCATTTGCTATCATTGTGGTAAGAGAAGACATGTCAAGAAAGACGGTTAGCTTAGAGCAATATAAGTTGAATTTTACTAGAGTGACTATCAAGAAAAAACACACATTGGACTTTATTTATTTTTATGTGTTGCAATAATCGATATTATTCCTATGATTGGTAAGATATTTTGTATTAATGATGATTACTCCAACAGATTATGGGTATACCACATCAATAAGAAATAAACTGAATCCAAAATTCATGAATGACAAATTCTTGAACTATGCTAACAATGTCAAAATGTATTTCTTATGGGATCCCATTACCCATAAGGCTATTAGTAGTAGAGATGCAAATATTATTTTTCTTCAAGGTGAACTTGGAGAAATAATTGATTCCAACTGAAAGACTTTAAAGAAAAAAGAAACTTGATTTGCAAGTTAGCCAAATATTTGTATGGTTTAAAACGAGGGCTAAATATTGGTACACAATATTTCATTCTTAATTATTAACCTTGATTATAACATATTGAATTTAGACTATTGTACTTATTATAATATATTTAATAAGAATGATTTATTATTTTTGTCGTTGGATATGGATGATATGTTGGTGATAGGTCCAACAAATAATTGAAGGTATAGTTGATTAATGAGTTTGATACGAAGAACTAAAAACCAACAAATAATATTTTAAGGATGCAAATTCATTGATACATAAAAGATAAGAATGTTTGATTTTATCAGAAGAATTACTTGTTGAAGGTCTTGTAATGCTTCAACATACAAGAGTATAAGTCAATTTATACTCCACTTTCTATCAAGTAAGTTATTGTCAAGTATGAGTCCTAGTAATGAAGTAGAGAGGATGAAAATGTTTCGAGTATTGTATACATCGACAATAGAAAATCTTATGGATATCATGATCGATACATGATCATATATTACACAAGTAGTTAGTAGATTCATGACAAATTATGAAGAACATAAATGTTATTAAGAAAATCATTATCAAAGAAAACTTAGATGTTACATTATGTTTATGAGGATAATAACTAGTTGTCAAAGGATAAGTTTATTCAGGTTCTGTAGATGATTTTGACATGTTTACACTGGTTTTTTTTTCAAACAAGGTAAAAAAAATATTGATTTTACGTAAGGGATAAAAAATTTTAAATTTTACCAAAATGGGTCAAATCATGCAAGGTGAGATGAGTTTGGTACGAAGAAATCGTGCCTAGAAGTACAAGTTTTTTAAAACGTGCTTAGTAGCACAAGTTGTGTATAATTTCTATTGTATTAAACTCGTGCTACCTAGTATGAGTTTCATCTATTTTTTTTTTGAAAAATAGGATTATTTTATTTTTTTAAATATATTGTTTATTAAATAATTAATTTTTATTTAAGTATTAATTTAATAAATAATAAAAATATTTAGAGAAATATGGATAAATCTAATTCAGTATATTTATATCAAAATATTACATTATTAAAAAAAAAACAAATTTACTTGTCGAAATGAACAATTTGTACGGTTATGACCTTCATTTTGACAAAAGGAACATCTTTTTGGTTTATTTTTAACTTCTACATCCATTTCATTTCGCATCTAATTAGTTGTAAGTCTTCCTTATGTATCTCGACGCATATTAAAATCAAGACAAAAATTTGGACTTGTATAAGTAGACTAATAATCTTCATTTTGACCTGGATGAAGCCGAAATTCATATGTCTTATTAATGTTTTGTAACTTGTAAATCGAATCTATAAATGCACCCAATTGTAAATTGCAAGAGGAATGAATAACAATAACTTGATAACAAGGGAGTCAAAGAGCTTGAAATTCCCCACAATCACACCACCATTAATTTAATTCAACTGTATACTAATCGATCTTCGACGATGGTGGGGATTGTATTAGTCTTATATGTCAAACTCAGAATTATCTCAATTGTACATTTGAACATGACACATGTTTATCCATGCTTCTCTAAATATTTGTATTTTCTATTAAATTAATAATTAAATTAAAATTAATTATTTAATAAATAATATATTTAAGAAACAAAATAATTCTATTTTAAAAAAATTACATGAAACTCGTGTTAGGTAGTACAAGTTCAATATAATAAATATTATACAGAATTCATGCTACCAACCACATTTAAAAAAAAAAAAAAAACTAAAATTGTGCTACTTAAAACGATTTTAGAGTTAATTGTCAAACTTGTGTTTCTAAGTACGATTTTTTCGTGTCGAACTCTCCCCACCTTGCACGATTTGACCCATTTTGGTAAAATTTGAAATTTTTGACCCCATTACATAAAATTAATATTTTTTTAACCCTGTTTGGTAAAAAAAAAACGTGTTTACATTTATAGAAGAGATAACAAGTTGGTTATCCAAGTTACATGATATTGTAGTTCTATTTAATACAGAAGTTATGTATATGACAAACACCCAACATTTGAGGAAATTAGTAGGATTAAAAATGTTAATATAGGAATTTGGGCACAAATGATAGAAGATTGTTGTGTATTATGATGGATAAAATGTCCTACACATTATAAAAAATTCTTTCTTACATTCCAAGATAAAGGAAGAAGAACTTAATAGATGATATGATAATCTAATAGTGATAAATTTATATGAGATTAATTTTATTGAAAGCCTATTGAAAAAAATAGTAACATAAAATATAATAATAATGTAACAATAATGTAGCGTAAATGTTTAATTAATTTAGTTAAAATCTTAAAGTGAGAAAACATAAGAATGTAAAAATATGATAAAAAAAATCTTATATAAAAGAAATTATATGTTAGTATTTAATTTTTTATTTATAAAATGAGCATAAATGTTTTTTTTTTCAGTCATCCTAAAATAATTTCTTTTTATTTTCGATTAGTGAATTGCATAATAGTTATATTTTCTTATTTTTATTTTAGTAGTAATTTATTTATTATACTGCCGTGGAGGAGGACTAGGAGCTTGGATTTGTAAGAAGTTTCATCATTTTGCGCATTTATATTCCATGAAAACATATGGAAGACTTTGAAACTCAAAATTTCTATGTATGTACATTTTTCCACAATCATCTGTTGGTTACCATGGTTAGCTAACGACTTGGTTTGATAATTCACAGATGACGAAGCACTTAACCTATAAGACACGCTTCTGTATGAATCAATTTTGTTTAGTTCTTTAGAATTTAGACTAACCACTTGACCAAATAATTTAATTATCAAGATAAATAGTGAAGGATGATTAAGTTAGTAGCCACTCTAACAACAGTATTTGTGTGAAGAAACTAGTTGTTCATTTGGTTTGATTTTTTTCTGAGTACCTGAACTGCAATCGTTCATTCTGATTGAAGATAAGTAATAAACTAATTAATAGATTGAACCAGGATTGTCTAGTAGCAACTAATGATTGTGTTTATCCCCAGGACCTAATCTAATACCGAGCAACGTGCATGTCGATTATGTTTAGTAATGATCATCAGTATGTTAGAAAGACAAGAAAAAGAATGTTGTCATGTGACAGAAAGAAATACTCCAAAATCATAAGATGAAAGAGGGGTAAATCAATCTTGAGATTGAAAGGGGTTCCAAATCATAAGCGACAACAACAAAAGATTTGGTATTACAATGTGTGGAACAGGGTTAACATTTTTGCGAAGTTTCCTAGCCATTCTCTTCCTAACGTAAGCTCTTCTTTGTTGGGGTCCCCAGTGCGGTTCCTCGACTCCGTCTGCGAGAATCAGGGGTGGGGGTTGGTGGAAGGGGCACTTAGATCTCCAAGAGGTTTGAGGAGGTGCAGTTCCGAAGACCCTTTTGAGGAAGAATGAGCGGAGCCATGTTCTGAGAAGGTTGGGGTTGGAGCAGAGGAAGGGAGGATAGTCCCAGTTGAGGTAGCAGGGGATTTGGGTGGCGATGAAGAACTGAGAGTGGAGAGATGGGGTGGTTGTGGGGCTCGTTAGGATGTGGGTTAAGGCTTGCAGTCTCTGCTCCCATGATGCTTCTTCCATGGCCCTGCTCGTGGAGGAAATTGGTTCACACAAGGTGAGAACGAAGGTGAAGCTAAGATCACATAAGTTTTTTTTTTTTTTGTCCGATTAAAATTCTATGATAAACTGAAAAAAAAAAAAAAGAGTTTAGCTCTGTTAGGCTTTGTTTGGATGGAGTGATTTGAGAGAGTGGAAATGGTGAAAAGGAGGGATTTGAAGAGAAATGGAGATGATTGAAAAGTGAAAGGAAAGTTTATGGGAAATTGTGAATGATTTGATTGATATGAGATATAAAAATTATAATTTTATGTTTATTATTTAAGAAAATGATCATTTTATCCTTTGTATCAAATAAGGTTCAAATGATTATAAATATAATTTTTTAATTAATTATCCATATTTTAACGTTGATTATATATTTAAAAGAAAAAACAAATTTAAAAGTGTTTGTAATTGGAAACAAATTTAAAAAATTAACTTTTTTTAGATAGTTATTAAAAATTATATAAATAAACAATTACAAAATTATGTACATTACATATCCATATTCAAATAATGTTGACATATTAAATAAATTATTTGACTAATAATTAAATAATTATAAAATATAAAATAATAATTAATATTGATCTGTCTTAGGGATTCAACTATATTCTTATATGCTTGGGTTGTCCAACTACCATCAACCCGATTACCCAACCTTGCCTCATCAAGCATAGCGATCAACAACCGAAAGTTCATGTCATCGAGTCCATTTTGTAAACTCGCGTACTACAGGTGACGAATCCGATTAAAATGACTTAGAAAAAATTACATGCGAGGTTTCAATCGATGAAAACTTCTTTGTATCAGTTAAAATAACTTGAAAAGTGTTATAAGAAAGTTTTAAAGCTGAATCAATCGATTAAACCGCGAATCAATCGATTAAATCACTCTTAGAAAATATTTGTAAAAAGTTTTAAGCGATAAAAACTTGGTCGTATCAGCTAAAACAATTACGTTAAAGAACAAGAACGCATTAATGGGTTGAAAGAACTTTTAACAGATTATAGCGACTATTTCAACAGATTAAAACAAACTTTGAGCAGACTTGCTCTCTAATCCCACTGCTGATTGGATTGAGCTGAAAAAGCGGAGCTTAGGTAGGCTACGACAACTCTCAAAGCGTGATCTCATAAGCAGTATTTCACTCGAGCGACTATATCTCGCTCGAGCGAAATACTGATCCTGATCGATCATAAGTTGAAATGATCGATCATAATTGGAGGATATAATAGCGGTTCCTCTGTATCAGCTATCTAAAGTGTATATTAGATAGCGGTTCAGGTGGAACCGTTATCATATACAACCATATTTTAATTTCTTGAGTCTCGGGTTGTGTTTAAGCTGAGCGACTATATCTCGCTTCGAGCGAAATATGATTCTGATCGATTAGATTTTTGAAATGATCGATCATATTTCATAATTTTTTCAAATAATTAATTCTAATCGATTATTTTTCTAAATTATTGATTAGAATTGATTAGTTTTTCAAATAATAGCTTAGAATTGATTAATTTAAAATATATATTAAAAAATTATAATTAAAAATATAGATTATTTAAGAATATTAACTATTGTAAAGATAAAGTAGAACATGGGAGGAGATGAGGATGATAATATAATGATAGAAGTTACAAAAATGTAGCATTGAGAAGTTTGAAACAAAAAAAATTAAGAAAATAGAGATTTAATTACACTTTTAATAAATTGAAGATAATTACAATATAATTTTCTAATTTGAGAATGAACAATATAATTAAGAAGATCAAGTGTAATGTTATTGATGCTAATTTTAACAATAATACAATAATATTATTTTGGAAAATGCCCATATTCATGTGAATATTTTGATTATTATTATATAAAATAATTAAAAGAATAAGGTAAATAGAAAAGTAAAATGCATGGTTATACCACTTTCCTTTTAATCTATAATTAGTTAGGTATGAATCAAATGTAAAGTCTAATGTTATTGATGCTAATTTTAAGAAGATCACAAAATGTAAATTAAATAACTACAATATAAATTTCTACTTTGAGAATGAACAATATAATTAAACTCAAAATTGAGAATACTCTTATACATTTTTGAACTCTTTTGGATAAATTTTGTTTTCCTAATTTTTGATAAAGTTAATTTTAATATTTAAAAGTATTTAACATTTTGAATTCTGAAAGGTTTTCTCTAATAGCAAATTTAAAAACATAATATTCAAAAAAATATTTTAAGATTCGATCTCGGGTTGCATTTAGCTCGAGCGACTATATCTCGCTCGAGCGAAAAGCGATACTGATCGATCATAATTTGAAATGATCGATCATAAGCTGGAGGATATAATAGCGGTTCTCTGCATACGCTTATCTAAAGTGTATATTAGATAGCGGTTCCGAGTAGGCACGCTATCATATACAACCAAATTTTTAATTTCTTCGAGTCTCGGGTTGTGTTTCGCTTGAGCGACTATATCTCGCTCGAGCGAAATATGATTCGATCGATTAGATTTAGGTAATGATCGATCATAATTGGAGGATATAATAGCGGTTTCTACTAGCATCGCTATCTAAAGTGTATATTAGATAGCGGTTCCAGTGGAGCGCATTATCATATACAACCATATTTTAATTTCTTCGAGTCTCGGGTTGTGTTTCGCTTGAGCGACTATGTCTCGCTCGAGCGAAATATTGGAGGATATAATAGCGGTTCCTCTGTAAGCGCTATCTTAAGTGATATATAATAGCGTTTAAGATTTAACCGCTATTAGAAGTGATATATAATAGCGGTTATGTTTTAACCGCTATTAGAAGTGATATATAATAGCGGTTAAGTTTTAATCGCTATTACAAGTGCTGTTATAATAGCGGTTAAGATTTAACCGCTATCATATATTGCAGGGTAACAGCGATTTTTCATTACTTTCATCTCTTTTCTTCGCACCTCAGCGAAGAAACTCTCTCTCTCATCTCCCCCTTTTCCTCGCCTGCATTTCGTCGCAAATCAGTTCAACCAAACGTGGGTGAATCTCGTGTTTCTGTCTTCGTGAACAGTTTTTCGTCGCAAATCAGTTCAAACAAACAGGGGCTTACTGTCCCCAACCTGAACAATACACTACACATGTTCTAGTATTATTCGCCACACTGAAAAACAAAAAGTCCTTGTTTTATTTTTTAATCACATTAGTCTTTAATAAAGCATATGGTGTGGCAGGAATAGATAATTATATTATTTAAGCGTGTGTTCAGATAAATTAGTCTCTAATTCTTATTAAGGAACACTTAATTGTTTTTGTGTTAAACTTAGTTCATTACACAAGTAATGGTTCTGCTTACATGAGATACATGCTATCCTTTAAATTTAAACTTTAAAAAGTTAATAAAAATGGATTTTGAAAAATAGTAAAACTTGTCGAACAAAAAATAGTAAAACTGAAGATGAACTTATTTCTAAGTGCTTGGCTTAAAGTCAATCTTGTAAGAAATGTATTTAGTATATCTTAAGATGTGAAGTCAATCTTAAAATGTATTTAGTTTATATAAATTTTGGTTTTGAACCAGTTTTTTCACACAAGAATTCTAATCTTGATAAATTTTAATACTTACATAATGTAAAGAAAGAGAGAAAATGATATTAGAAAGATATTTCAATAACATTGTATAATTATTAAAATTGAAGTAATGTAATTTATATATATGAATGTCTTTATTACAAAAGACAAATTAATAATAAAATCCAATAAAAAATTTATCTAATATAAAAATTAAGTAAAGTTGTTTCAATTCAGAAGAAATTCTTCAACATAAAATCAATTATGTGAAAAATTACATAAAATTATAATATTTGGTATTTCAACATAATTAATAAATAAATAAAAATCTGACGTTATGCTAAATCTAAACCGCCGAACTAAAGCTATTGATTTTAACTTTTGCAACATCTGTTGATTTGACATGATTTTTTCTCTACCCGTTGTATTTCGAAACACGAGTAATCCATCTCTACAGATTTACTTTCCAGATGGATATGTAAGTTGCATGAAATGCTACTAATCTCGGCTATTTGCAACCATTCACTGATATAAGATCAAAACTACATCAATCCACCATCGCCGAGTAACATTGTAGAAGGAGACAAGTGTCAGAAGTAAGTTCAGTTGCCGCTGTAGGAAGCAATATTCCTGTTCAGTTAAAAAGAAAAGCCTTGCCTGCCTGGGGATTACGAAGAGAGCAACATCCAAGCACTCATTACTGGAAAGATGATTAAAGCAGAAGCCTGAAAACATGTAACTACGGTCAAAGAATTGCCCACGTTGTCAAGAACTTCTAAAATCCTTGAAATCATAAATCTAAGTTTTGTATTAGATAAGTAAACTGAAATCTTTAAGCATACCAGGAAGAAGACTAATTCTTCATTGGCAAGAGATGCAGTCAATTCATTTGTCTCCATCCGATCTTTGATGAAACCTTGAAGCTACACATATGTTAAAAATTTTGCAGCGGCTTAGATATTTAATTTCTTGGAAGAGGAAAAGCCTTAAAATGCTAGACAATAAAATCTCAGCAGGCTTCACAGTATCCTCAACTAACACACATTGCAAAAAAATTGAAGTTCAAAAATTTGAAATTCAGACTGCACGAAGCTGGAATAGTAGTAGTATGAGAAACCACTTGATATCACAAAGCTTCAAATATGAAGTTTTATGATTTCTCATCCTTATAAGAGAATAAAAACCATTTTCATACACAAATTAAAAATATTTATCAAATGTTATTAACTAAAAGCTTATATATGTTTCCATGCAGACCTGATGGTGATACTTTTTGGTCAGTGAGGAGCCTCTCTTCAACTTATCTATAGCCTGTGAGATGAGTGAACTGACTGCAGTCCTTTCGCCAAATAAATATGAATCAAGTGCCCGAAGATCGTCAAGAAGGATGTTGAAAAACTACGGAACAAACAATGATACAGAAAGGGAGATAAGAAATGATGACTACTAGAATAGATAAATGTGCTTATTGCTAGGAAGCTTTAGCAATTCCTCACATATCTTTAACCAAGAAATGTCACACTGGACAATAGTACTTAATAGCATTGCAGACTTGATAATCTTTACATAAAAAGATTAGTCTGAAGAACCCAAACTTGCTATTCAAAACACTTAAACTTACCTTCAAGAATGTGCATCTTGTAACGCTTCTTAACCTTTGAGCCTTTAGAGTCCTCACCTTTGCCCAAACACATACAAGTGTGCAAATAGAAAATAAATGAAAAGCTAAAAAAAAAAATGATGTAATCTTGTTAATGTGAACTAGAAAATAAACCGTATATACTTTAGTAATGTGAAGAGCCTGTTCCAGATGTTGAACTTGAATCCACTGTTCATTCACAATGGCACCCATCTGAAATGGAAAGGATGAATAACATCAACTAATGCTAGGATCTATCTATCTCAACCAAGCCTCATTAATGTGTAGGAAAATATTAATTTGCAAATGATGTAAGCAAATTCATAATGAGCATGGTATAAGCTGAACTCTCTGTCACCACAATATATTATACTTTGAATTAGAATTGATTATATGTATTCCAAAACTGGCTTTCGTGCCAAAGACTAATTATACCTTTAATTTGATATGTCATGCCGACCAGTACTAGACTGTTGGGTGTTAGGATCCCAGATATAAGGATTATATAGAAAAAGAGTATAGAACTGGTAGAATGGTTAGAGTTTTACAAATAAAAGAGTCTCCCCAAGGATTTCCCCTTACAACCAAAGATGGTTCTGTCATTCAATTATCAGAAAATGAATCCAACTTTAAGACAGTGAGTCACCTATTAAACAGCCCAACCTCCAGTAACTATCTGAGTCATCCAACTCTAACTGATAGCAAGTAACTAGCTTTCTTAGTTGCCTCCTATTTCTATGAGGTATATCATCCAAACCCCTGCCCCATTGCAGTTGGGCCATAATGCCCATACTAAAGAGCTTACTACTTGGTAGTCTGTGAAGCACCGGCACAGCTCCCCTCATCCGTGTCAAAGCGTCGCACGCGAGTCCGACACCGACACCGCCACGACACATTGAGGATGCGTGTCCGACTCCTTTTTGTAGTGTCCCCTAGACCAAAAACGCGTCGCGGGACTTCGAGTCATGGTGGACACGGCGTGACCCAGATCCGACACAGTGTCGACACGGCTCCGACTCAGGTATAATTTTTATAAAAAAAAAAGATTGAATTTTTTTCATTTACGTTATTTTTTCTCCCGCTTTCCTTCCTTCCTTCCTCTGCATGTTTCCATTTCTGCTCCAAAGCTTTCCTTTCATCCAAAAAAACTTTCCTTTTTTGCTTCTAGTTACTTTCTTCTGCTGCGTGCTACTGTGTAGTTAATCCAAGAGCACAGAGCACACAACGCTCCCTGCCTAATGAACTCCGGAACAACGAAGTAGTTAATCCTAGACAAAGCGTCAAATGGGTTGACGTAATCATATTCCAAATCAGATAGGATCAAAACCTGGTAAAAAGTGGAGGCGAGAAGGACAATGTTGGCAAGAAAACAAATGAAGAGCCAGAAGATGAGATTCCAACCCATTTACAAAGAGGGAGGAATATAGGGTTTGTGAAAGAGAAAGGGGTAGAGTGTAACCGTTGGAAGCGATCCGAAATTTAAAAGTGGGGATCGCTTTGTTTTCTTCCGTTGTTAATTGAAGTTTTGCTGTTCATTTTGCTCTGTTTTGCTCTCTGTCGTTCAGGTCTTCATTCTTGTTCAAGTATTCCACTGCGTCATGCTCTCTTTTGCTGTCCACTGTTTAGGTCTTTGTTTTGCTCTGTTTTTCTTTATAATGTTTCATTTTTTTATTAGAATGCGATAGTTATGGAATTATGAACATAGAAAAATCATATGTTATTGGTTTCATTTTTGTAGAAATGAGTAATTCTAGTCAACCTTTACAAGATGATGATATCAAACCCCTATGGAATTATGTTACAAAGATAAAAAGTGTTGGTGGAGGTGGTGAAAATTATGAAGTAAAATACAATATTTGTAACCTTACTTTCAATAGATCTTATACTAGAGTGAGATCACATTTGTTGAAGATTACGGGAAAGGGAGTTAGAGGTTGTAAAAAAATAACACCCTTGAAGCTAGGTGAACTAACAAAGCTAGACAATGAAGCTACATTGAAGATAGAAAGGTCTAAGACAAAATTTGTCCCTTTGCCTCCGATTTCTAATGAATCATCTATGGATGGTGTTGATCTCAAAAAACCAAAAGGAAAACATCTGGATCACTAGATAAAGCTTTCAATATGCAAGCTAGAGAGACATTAGACTATGAAATTGCTAGGATGTTTTACTCATCAGGATTTCCATTTCATTTAGCAAGAAATCCTTATTATAGGAGAGTTTTTTCTTTTGCTGCCAATAATTATGTAAGTGGATATCAACCACCAGGTTATAATAAGTTGAGAACAAGTTTATTTGCTAATGAAAGAAGACATGTAGAGAAGCTTTTGGAGCCAATCAAAAATACATGGAGTCAAAAAGGTGTTAGCATTATTAGTGATGGGTGGAGTGATCCCCAAAGAAGACCTCTCATTAATTTCATGGTTGTTACAAAGAGTGAACCTATGTTTTTGAAGGCTATAAAATGCTCTGATGAGATTAAAGACAGATTTTATAGCCAAACAAATGAGAGATGTAATTATGGAAGTTGGACCTTCAAATGTGGTGCAAATTGTGACTGATAATGCACCTATATGTAAGGCCGCATGTTTAATGATTGAAGCTGATTTTCCTTGTATTTATTGGACCCCTTGCGTTGTGCACACTCTAAATCTTGTTTTGAAAAATATATGTGCAGCAAAGAGTACAGAAAAAAAACAATATTACTTATCAAGAATGTTCTTGGATCACAAATATAGGAGAAGATGCTATGTTCATAAATTTTTTTATCATGGGCAACACTCAACGAGGTTATCTATTTTCAACTCATTCAACTCATTAAAGTTGTTTTCCGTTACTCCAACAAGATTTTCTTCTACTATAGTCATGCTTAAGAGATTTAAGAAATTGAAAAAAGGACTCCAAGAGATGGTTATTAATGATGAATGGTCTTCTTACAAGGAAGATGGTGTTGGAAAAGCTAAATTTCTGAAAGATACATTATTGGATGATGTTTGGTGGGATAAGGTTGATTATATACTTTCTTTCACTAGTCCCATTTATGATGTTCTAAGAAAAACGAATATGGAAACTTCATCTCTCCATTTAGTATATGAAATGTGGGACTCAATTATTGAAAATGTGAGAAAGGCCATTTATCGATATGAAAGAAAGACAGAAAGTGAAGAATCAAGATTTTATAATGTTGTGCACTCCATATTAATTGAACATTGGACAAAGAGTAGCACACCTCTCCATTGTTTAGCACATTCTTTAAATCCAAGGTAATATTTTATATTCCTAAATAAGATTTTAGTTATATTTTTATAGGTTATTGTAATCATGATTTTTATTTATATTGTAGATATTATAGTTATGAATGACTAAGTGAAGATTCTAATAGAGTTCCTCCACATCAAGATATGGAACTTACTCGTGAAAGGGTGAAATGTTTTACTTGAAATAGAAAAAAAGAAAATAAAGAACTGATTTTGAGAGTCTGAAATCATTTTTTTGTGTTCTCTTATTTATAGGAGATAAAAATACAGATTCAGAGATACAATTAATAGAGAGACATGATTAATCCTATAGAAGATAAACAGATGCATTCTAGGAACTAGGTCTACAACTAATCTCATAAATGTCCAACAAGATACATTTAATCTAATAAATACTTCAACACTCCCCCTCAAGCTGGAGCATACAAATTGAATGTACCAAGCTTGGAACAAATGAATTCCATTCGAGGTCCTCTCAAAGATTTTGTTAATGCATCTGCAAGCTGATCATTGGAACCAACAAACTCAGTACAAATTTCTTTAGTCAACAACTTCTCCCGAATAAAATGACAGTCAATCTCAATATGCTTAGTCCTCTCATGAAATACTGGGTTGGAAGCAATGTGAAGAGCAACTTGATTATCACAATACATTTTCATAAATTGAATCTCACAGAAGTTCAATTCTTGCAAGAATTGTTTTACCCAAACAAGTTCACAAGTAAGAGACGTCATTGCCCTATATTCAGCTTCAGCAGAGGATCGTGCAACAATGTTTTGCTTTTTGCTTTTCCATGAAATGATATTTCCTCCAAGGAAAACACAATAGCCTGTAGTGGAACGCCTATCCATAGGAGATCCAGCCCAGTCAGCATCACAGTACCCAGAAATTTGGGTATTTCCCTTATCTTCATATAATAATCCTTGTCCTGGAGCTTTTTTAATGTATCTTAAGATTCGAATGATAGCATTCCAATGATCCACACAAGGAGCTTGCATAAATTGGTCGACAACACCAATCGCAAAAGACAAATCAGGTCTAGTAATCGTCAAATAAATAAGTTTCCCAACCGAGTCTTCTATATCTTTACGAGTCGAGAAAACTTCACCCCTGCCATTAACTTCAAATTTGGATCCATAGGACTGTCCACGAGTTTGCAATCAATCATACCTGTCTCTTTTAGAATATCTAGAGCATACTTCTTTTGAGAGATGACAATACATTCTCTTGATTGAGCTACTTCAATACCCAAGAAATATTTTAGATTTCCAAGATCCTTGGTCTGAAAATGACTACACAAGTGCTCTTTTAGCTGAGATATTTTAGCAGCATCATTCCCTGTGATGACAATATCATCAACGTACACAATTAAATAAAGGCAAACAGTGGTCATTTTGGCTACTGGAGAAAAAATATCACAATAATCAAGTCCATATATTTGAGAATACCCTTTAGCCACTAACCTTGCTTTAAGACGATCAACCTGACCATTGGGCCCAACTTTAATAGCATAGATCCAACGACAACCAACTGTTTTCTTTCCCGAAGGGAGAGGAACAAGCTCCCATGTTTTGCTGTGATCAAGAGCCTGCATTTCAGAAATCATGGCTTGTCGCCATCCAGGATGATCAAGCGCTTCGATCACATTTTTGGGAATTGTAATAGAGGAGACAGAGGAAATAAAAGAACAATAGGAAGGAGACAATCTATGATAACTAAGAAAATTGTAAATGGGATGAGGATTACGAGTAGAACGAGTACCTTTGCGAATGACAATGGGCCAACTGGAGTCATCGTTATCAGGAGTCGTGGTATTAGAGGATGATGGTGAAGGACCTGTTATGGATGGCTTATCTTGGGGAATGGGATTGTTCACCTGGTTCCTGCGTTGATAGGTGATGATAGGTTGTGTTAAGGTTCCAACATAAAACCAATTGGCTATATGTGGAGTAGCCTAACATGTATTTAAACCATACCAAATGATATGAGGTAGGTGATGTGGGACTTTCAACACACCCCCTCCAACGAAGCCCGCCGGACCAGGCAAAGGGTACTTTTGACCCAACTAAAGGACAACTTTTGGCCCATGACAATAACCGGAAAGATGTTAGGCTTTGGCTCTGATACCATGTTAAGGTTCCAACATAAAACCAATTGGCTATATGTGGAGTAGCCTAACATGTATTTAAACCATACCAAATGATATGAGGTAGGCGATGTGGGACTTTCAACAGGTTGTGATGCTGATTCTAGAGTATTTTGGTTGGGATTTGGGGTGTCAGGAATAGGAGGTACAACTGATTCAACTAAGGGAACAGGAAACACATTTTGGACAGAATCAATATCCTGCATAGAATAAGGGAAGAAGGATGATGATTCAAAAAAGGTGACATTAGCAGACATGTAGTACCTCTTGGTTTCAAGAGAATAACACTGATATCCTTTTTGAAGACGAGAATACCCCAAGAAGACACATTTGATAGCTCTAGGTAAGAGTTTATCTAAGCCAGGAGACATGTCATGAACAAAACATATACATCCAAATACCCTAGGAGAAACATGAAAAATTGGTTCCTTTGGAAATAGAATAGAGTGTGGAACTTTATTATCAAGAGAAGAAGATGACATTCTATTAATGAGAAAGCATGCAGTTAGAATAACATCTCCCCAATGATGAATAGGCATATTGGCACCCAGCAATAAGGTACGAGCGGTTTCAACCAAATGTCTATTTTTTCGTTCTGCTATACCATTTCTTTGTGGTGTGTGAGGACACGTGGACTTGGTGTAAAATGCCTTGAGAATTTAGGACATTAGAAAAATCATTAGAAAAGTACTCTTTGGCATTATCACTTCGTAAAACTTTGATTACTTTTCCAAATTGAGTTTTGATTTCATTAAGGAAAGACTTAAAGATAGGCAATAGTTTAGAACGATCTTTCATAAGATAAACCCAAGTACATCTAGAAAACCTATCAATAAAAGTAACAAAATATCTAAAACCAAAAGATGAAACACGACTAGGTCCCCATATATCTGAATGAACAATACTAAAAGCAGAATCACATCTAGATTCAAAATGATTTGGAAAGGATGACCTGGTATGTTTCCCTAGTTGACAGGATTCACATTCAAAAGTTTGAAGGTTCGAAGTTCGGGAACCATTTTTTTCAATTTTGCTAAATGAGGATGCCCTAATCGCTCATGTAACGAGTTTTGGGGATAAGGATGCAACACAAGATACAGATGACTTAGTCCTAAGGTAGTATAAGCCTCCAGATTCATGTCCTTCTCAAATCGATCGACCAGTACCACGTTCCTGGATAACAAAACAATTGGCATTAAAGGTTCTTGAGCAATTCAATGATTTGGTTAATTGGCTTACAGAAACAAGACTGAATGGAAAAGAAGGAACACAAAGAACATTTTGAAGGTTTAAAGAAGAGATGGATACTTGACCAATTCCTTTAGAGGCTACTTTAGATCCATTAGCTAAAGATATGAGATGGGATGTTTTAGGAAATGAAAGAGAGAAAAATAAAGAGGTATTACCAGACATGTGGTCAGAAGCACCTGAGTCAATAATCCATGGATTTTGACTTTCCACATATTGCGAAATGCAAGCGGTTGACGAATTTGGTGTTGTAGATGCTTGAGCCAAATTGGTTGATTTCATCCTTAAATATTCTTGATACTCTTCATGAGAGAACTTGGGCTCATCAACTTCAAATTTTGAGGTATTAGCTGCCTTATCAGGAAAGCCGTGCAGAGCAAAGCAATTTTCCTTAGTATGTCCCATTCTTTTGCAATGAGAGCACTGAGGACGTCCTTTCCCACCACGTCCTCTAGAGCTGTGATTACCTCTTCCACGAGCAGAAATCATGGCGGAAGAATCAGCAAGTTCCTGACTGTTTTTGCTTTTGATAGAAGGAACACGAAGTAGCCTTGTGATTAAACTCTCCGTAGAAGGAACTTCTTCTCTAGTTAGAATCTGGTCTCTAACATGATTAAACTTTGGATTCATAGCCCTAAGAATCATTACCATATAGAATTTATCCAGCTTCGTCTTCCTTTCTTCTACGTCTTCCTTTCTTCTAATGATTACGCCTCCGGGAACATTTTTAATTCTTCAACAGTGATCGAGCTTCGACAACAAAGGACATCATGGAATTATCCTCTTGCTTAAGGGAGGCTAGTCTATTAGCAGAATCATAAAGTCGTTGAATATCGTTAGCAAAGATATTTTGGGCCTTTTTCCAAAAAGAATTACATGTCTTGAAGGCTCGAAGAGTGCTCAAAATATGTGGTTCAACAGATTGCCATAATAGTGCACAAAGTTGATAATCCAGTTTCTTCCATTGAGGAGCCTGATCTACTGGTATAGTACTTCCATCTTCTTCCAGATGATCATGAACTCCTTGACCTAGAAACCAGAGCTCAACAGAGGAAGCCCAAGACAAATAATTTTTTTCATTTAATTTTTCTGTGGTTATAGTCGGAGTCCCAAAGATACGAGACACGAGTCCCGACATTTTCCAGGAAGCAAGAAAGGACCGGCGTGCTTTGTCGAGAGAGGGCCGAGAGAGGCGAGAGAAAAACGCAGACCCACCACGTTTTGTGACCGAGAACACAAAACAAAGTGCAGATCTGGCACCAGGGCGACGAGGCGAGCCGGATAGAGGTGGCCTGGAGCAAAACAGCCACCAAGAGGGCGGCGCGTGAGGCTCACGCGCGGAGGAAGCCGCGGACGAGGGTGGCGCGTGGCGGCGCGTGAGGCATAGATAGAGGAAGCGAACACTGGGGTTGGGTCGCGCTCCTCGAGGCGAGCCAAACCCAAGTGTCAGAGAGGAAAAAGGCGCCGGAGAAGACAGCACCGGCGGCGGACGGCGGCGGACGATGGTGAACGGCGATTAAAGCCAGAAAAAAAAATAGAGACAGGCAGAGCGGGATGAACCCGCTCTGATACCAACTTGAAATAGAAAAAAAGAAAATAAAGAACTGATTTTGAGAGCCTGAAATCATCTTCTTGTGTTCTCTTATTTATAGGAGATAAAAATACAGATTCAGAGATACAATTAATATAGAGACATGATTAATCCTAGAGAAGATAAACAGATGCATTCTAGGAACTAGGTCTACAACTAATCTCATAAATGTCCAACAAGATACATTTAATCTAATAAATACTTCAACAGTTTTAAACGATATTTTGTTGATGTGGATGCGAGGAGACAAGTAAATGTAGAGTTTGCAAATTTTTCCGATGGAAGAGAAGATTTTGATGACATTGATTCATTAAGTGATAGGGGTAAGATAGATGCAAAATCTTGGTGGCTTGTTTATGGTGCCCATGCTCCAATACTTCAAAAAATTGCTCTTAAACTACTTGGGCAACCATGCTCTTCTTCATGTTATGAAAGAAATTGGAGCACTTACTCTTTCATTCATTCTATGAAAAGAAACAAGATGGCACCATATAGGATGGAAGATCTAATATTTGTTCATAGCAACCTCCGTCTTCTTTCAAGGAATTCTCCACAATATAACCAAGAGGAAACAAAAATGTGGGACATAGCAGGAGATGCATTTGGATCACTAGATGAGAGTGGAATGCTTGAAGTTACTAATTTATCACTTGATGAACCGGAGCTAGAGAGTGTATTTTTCAATGATGATGATTATGGAGGCCACTATCTTTAATAAATTTGATTCATCTTCTTATTTTGGGACTTTCTTTTTGTAAAAAGACAAAGTTCTTACATTGTGAAATAGTGCTTCTTAGTATTTTTTGGTTAGGATATCATATGAAAATTGTAAAGTCTAACAACTTTGTCTTGAGAAGATGAATGAACAAATCTTAATTTTTAATTTATATATTTCTCATTTGAATCATATTTAAATTTCTATTCATGTCTAATATATATAAGGTGTCCCGGTGTCCTATATTTTAGAAGTTTGCCATGTCCCGGTGTCCGTGTCATATCGTGTTTCAGTGTCTGTGTCGGAGTCAATGCTTCATAGTTGGTAGTTGAATAGAAAAGGTAAAGTTAACAACTAAATTTACACTCTAAAATATAGTTAATTTAAGCTCAAACCACTATTTTCCCTTTTAGTAATCATTACCTTGAGCTTGACAATTCCTACCTAAAGAACAGAGAATTAACAATATGCAACATAATTTCCCTTTGAGAAAATAAGACAATGCACAAGTCTGTGAAACCAATTTATTTTGGAGCATTGACAATAATATCTTACAATAATGAATAATCAAGTATTTCAGAAAAAAATGACTTCCTCTGTAGAATATTTGCAGTTGCCCTCAATACTAAAGGCCCTTTCCAGGCATCCTCACTCTACAGTCCTTATTGTTTGTGCAAAATTCAATGGTTATATGTATGCATTTTCTTTATATGCACAAGAAAGAAGTCTCACTGAATGGACCGTAAAGTTCAACACCACTAAAACCAGAAGGTGTAAAATAGGACAAATCATCCATGAAATAAAATAAAATAGAATAATATAAATAATGATAATAAATGATAGCATAGGCAATGCACAAACCTTTTCAAGTCTTGAAGTAACCTCCTCCAGTCTCTCCTCGGTTTCTTGTGCTTTAGATTTCAAAATATGAAGATCAAAGTTGTTCCTTCTCAAGGTATGCCAAAGAAGTTGTACCTATGGATTGTCAATTCTATTTCTCAAATCAGTCGAACTTTCAATTAAATCCAAACACAAAATGCTATAAATTATTTGCTGCTATATTATATGAACAACCAAGAGAATTAAGAGGGAGGTGGGGAGGGAGCCCAGTACTAGATCCAGGGAGCCTTGGGTTGGGGGAAACTACCTCTTCCTCCAGAGCTTTGTACTTTCTCTCGACATGCAATGAGGCAGCCTGCAAGAAGAACAACACACGGTTTTCAAATATAAAAAATAAAAAATAAAAGTAAGAAGGCATCGATATGATGAACACTTTTAATCATATATTTTCGATTATCCGACCAAAATAATAATTAATAAACTATCAAAATAAAGATCTAACAGGAACTTGCCTTGGTGACATAAATTGGATGAATAAGGTCAAATTAAGTGAATAAGAAGGTCCAGCAAAAGATCTATCATCTACTTCTAAGAAAATGAATGCTTTGCTCTTTTCCCCCTATTCTAGAGAGTGGAAGACAAACCTTCATTGTAGAGAGAGTAGATTCCAGACGGTGAATTTGTTCGGACAATTCAATCATTCGCTTATCACACTCCTCCAGGTACACATCCCTTTCCCTTAATCTTGTATTGCTTTCTTCAAGAACCGATTCTGCATTGAAATTATTCCTCAAAATGAAACGCAAAAGAAGCAAAAAATCGACATCGATATGCATAACAGAAGCATATATAAGGCACATAGTGTTGCAGATAAGATGAAGTAGAAAGTCGAATGAAAATGACCTAGGTGAGAGATTTTGAGGTTGATTTGGTTGATTTCGAGGTGGATTGGTTGGGCAGAAACAGAAAGCGAAGCGTGAAGAAGGAGAAGAAGAAGGATGGGAATGGAAGTAAGAAGATATGGCAGGGCCAACGCCATAGTGATGCAGTGCAGCTGCTTCTCTTCTCTTTTCTAGTCTTCGCTCTTCCCCTGCCTCTAGACGCTGCATATACTGCACCCTGCAGTCACTACCAAAACGACTCAAACCGAATTTCAGATACCAAATTATTTATTTTAATTAAACTATGTTAAGAAAATTAAACTCGTTAAGATCTGTTTACACTAATTTCTAAATTATTGAATCCTACAAAATCTCAAAATCTTTATTCAACGTATTAATAGTCATGTGGTAATATTACGTGAATTAAAAAACCAGAATGTAAAATTAAATTTAGGGTCTTAAAAGAAGCAAATTACATTTTCAGGACTACTTTAACTAATTTAAATTAAAGATTAATGTAATTCCATAAACTAAATTCGTCATTTACTCTCAAAAATATATTATAAAACCAGCTGAAAATTTAAAAATGAATTAAAGTACAATCAGGCATCTTATTTTCTTAGGCAGAGCTAATTTCCTATTTTATATCAAACTTATGCTTCTTTTCCATATATTTTTCTTCGGGGATTTATTAGTATCCTTTTTCAAACAGTTTTTCCTTCTGAATGTATAGAGGAAATTATCACATGCGTAATAAAAATAAGAAAATAAAGTTTATTCACTAAGCGTATTCTATTATTTCCTAAATTAGTTTTGCTATTTATAGACACAATCAAGAGAGCTCAATGTTCAATTCACAAAATTTTCTCTGTCAATATTGTAGTTTTTCTAAATATATCCAATGAAACAAATTAAACATTTTCAAAAAATTCTAATAATCTTTAACGTTTTGTTTTTTCTTTTACTAAAAATGTTTCTTCATGTGTCTTATAATTTTCTTGATTATAGAATGATTTTTTATTTCAATTATACCTCTTACATTCTATAATATATTTTTTATAATTTGGAAAATAAATAAAAGATCTCATAAGAAAATTATGTAAAATAATATATTCTTATCTTATATATGTTCAAAATTAATTTAGTGTTTTGATTTATTATGATATTTTTAAAAGAAAAATTATACCTTCAAAAATTAATTCATTAGTTGGAAATTTTGAGAATTTGAAGATAAGATTCTTAGAAACGAAGAATTATTCATTTGTATTTTAAAATAATATTCTTTAATGACTAAAATAATTAAAAAATAATGATAAAATAAAAAATAGATCTCTCGATCATATTAAATTTTGAGTATGTAACTTCCTCATATATATATATATATATATATATATATATATATATATATATATATATATATATATATATATATATATATATATATATATATAAAGATAAAGATAATACATCTTTTATAAAAAAAAAATTCAAAAATAGATTTCAACTTCTTTCTTATAGGATTTTATTTCAATTCCTCTAATTTTTTTCAATTTCTTTTATTGTATGAAGATGGTGCCTTTAATTCTAGTTAACTGCAGTAGTCAATAGTAATACTTAAAACAATAACATTTTATTAAAAGATAAAAAATTATCGTAGGTATTGCTCATAATATAATATAAACATTTTAATGACTCAAGCTTAATGAAAATAAATAAGTATTAAAAATTGGTTAGAGGAAGATTATATCCACTTGTATATTATATATTAAAATCATATTATGATTTTATCACACTTCCATCTCATCCCCTCCTCCGAGGGATTTTATCAAGAGCAAGACTAAAAAAATTCACTTCCAAAAGTTTGTCATCTAGTTTAGCTGGATTGATGTTGAAAATCATTCATAACTAAGAAATGAATTTGTATGTATTAACGAGTAAGAGTCTCAAAATAAATTTAATTTGATGGATCAATACGAAAGATTAAAAAAATAAATCAGATTAGGAAAACAATTTATCGCCTAATTGGAACTAGACTAATCTTATCCGACCTATTTAAACTATGATCTAAATGAGCTTAGGTCAAACTAATCCGTAAGTTTATAAACTGATTCATTTTATAAAATAATAATTATTTAAAAAATAATAATATTTCTATTTCTTTTTCATTTTTATTTTTATTTTTGTCGTGACATTTACATTCATTTATATATTTCTCAATACTAAAAGATGGTAAATAAATCATTTTATTGATTTTGTGACATTTTAAACATTCTACTCATTACATTTTAAATACTAATCTTCATTTAATATTGATGATAGTATCTTAAAAATATGCAACCTTTTATTTATACCAATTGTATGATTAAGATCAAATTTAACCTTCTATTATACTCAAATTAGTATTTAATATTTTATAATCTTTGTATTTGACAAACTTTAACTATTTAATATTATTTGTTTATTTTTATAAACTTTAACTATTTAATATTATTTGTTTATTTTTTGTTATTAACTATAGATACGTTCATATTTTATTTTATTTTGTTTAAGTAAATTATGAATTAATTTTAAATAAACAAATAAATGATATATTATTTTTTTAAAATAAAATTTAAAAAAATTTATATAAATAAAAGATTTTTTTACTTAGTTAGGCAAAAAAAATTATCCATTGATCTAAAATCTAAACCAAATTTTTTGATCAATTTTAAAATATAAATTAAATTAAATCATTAATTTTTTTAATTTTTTAATTTTTTTTACTTGACCAACTGACCCACCCATTTTTACAACCCAGTATTGTGTTTAAATTTTCATCCTAAAATAGATGTAACATATACTAAAACACATTTATTTCAACATGTATAACTATCTAAGGTACATGTAAAAGTTACATTCTGAGTTATCCGTGATAAAATGGAGACTGCACCTTGATTTTTTTTTAGAACAGGAAGCTAGAGGGTAATTTTCCAGGATGAAATGGGAGAACACATGAAGCAGATCTACCCTTGGGGGTTTGACCAGTGATCATTACTGTCAAGGACCATGGCCAAACTTTTATGATTCTAAATGAACATGCTGAACTACAATTAGAATTTTCATCGTCTTGTTTCTTCTGGCCTCCCCAAACAAAAATAAAATTCGTAATAAACACTTTAAACTATAAATACAGATGATCACCTATTATGAATCACTGTTATCTTAGTGAAGTGACACATTAGTGATCAGAGAGGGCATCGGCATGGATCAATTTTCCATGTCCTTTCTGCATACTCTTGAATGGTCCTGTCACTGCTAAATCTCCCAGAACCAGCAGCACTAAGGATACTCATCTTGATCCACTTCTCTGGTTCAACAAATGCTTTATCTGCAGCAGCCTGTTACCATATTTAATCAAGGTTAAGTTCTAATATTAAATAAAAACTGACGGTAATATAAATGGTTTGGATACTCAAAATAAAATAAAAATACAAATGAAATTACCTGTGCCTCAAGGTAACTCCCAAAATCAGGGCCAAGGAGATAGAAATCTCTACCGATTTCCACCGTGTCACATAAGGATTTGAAGTAGTCTTTATAACCAAAATATCCATCTCGAACCATCCTAATGTTATTATCATAATAACAGCAGTTAGTTATAACTTATAAGAAAAAAAAAAAAAAAACCTAAGAGTACCATTCCCTCTTTTAGTATACTTAATTTTAGTCATTGGGCAATATAATAATAGTTAACAAAATAACAATTCAACCATGATCAGAAACTTTATCTGCGATTGTTAATAGTCCACTTATTCTTTGAAGATGGAAGTTATGTATTTTTATTTATTTACCTTAACACGCGAGCAAATTGTAGAGGTACTTTTAAAGTAGATCCTTTTTTACGCAGTTCTGCAACTTCTTGCACTTTTGCTCCAAAGAGAAACTGAAACAAGTAAAGACATTTTGAATTGAAGCTATTAGGCGAGTTATTAACACAAGTTTCCAAAAATGATCAAAGAAAGCCACCATTACTGTATGATATCACAATTATTCATAAAGCTCGAGCCAGAAATTAAATTTCCTCTTGAGCAATTTAGGCAGGCAATCATGAAGCCAAGGCTTAGTTCAGTCAAGCGAACTACAATATTCTATCCCTTCTAGAAAGCAAGGCAGGATACGTAGGCATTTAAAAGCATCATCTGATTACTGATCAGCACATCTCCCACGCAGATTTACAGACAGAAAATCTTATAGACGATATCAGAAACTTTCTCAAATTGCTTAAGAGCACAATTTGATTGTGCTGAGAAACATGAAAACATCATGTATGTTATCACTCACCAAGTTATCTGACCCTATTTCTTCAATTATTTCTACCGTAGATCCATCTGCCGTAGCTAAAAGTAAACATCCATTCATCAAAAATTTCATGCTCCCAGTTCCTGAAGCTTCATGTCCTGCAGTGCTACAAGATAATTATTGCTGTCAATAAATAAGAAACATGTATTACACTTCTCAAAACTAAATTTGAAAAAAGGGGAGGGGGGGGAGGTAAGGAAAATATAAATTGCACAACATTGAGCAAGAATATGGTTGTCAAGCACACAGCCTAATGCGTAATGTGATAATTGGTGCACGTGAATACATTAATACAACATTACAAAATCCTCGAAGGGTGTAGCATTTTCTAAAAGACGAAGGATTGAATAGCATAAAAATACTTTGTTCCGTGTTTGGTTTAGAAAGTGATGAGACATGACAAAACAAAAGAGGAAGCACAGGTCTAAGTATCTGTTACCCAAAAAATCATGCGATATTTTCCTGTACCCATCAAAACAATGGGAAATAACTAGCAAGCCCAGTGGGATCATATCCAACTCACAACCCCCTGCTCCACCTCTAAAATTGCTTGAGCTCTGTATCAACCAGTAAAAAACAGACCAGAAATAAAAAAAATAGTGCTGAATCAACTTCATTTCCTATGTTGTTCTGTTCCTCATGCTGTCCATCAATAAACATCAAATGCATAAAAATCACAGAGACTGTGAAGATCATGCCAGTTTGGAAATAGTGGGTGGACTAGGATGTCTCAAACTAACTGCAATACACTGGTTATAAGTTAAATTCCACTCTATCAAAAGATGCATCTTTCACAATAGAATTTCCAGGTGTTTATTATCCCCACTACTTGGTCCCTACATCATTCTCCATATCTTTTTTATTTGAAACTTATTACTCTTTCTTGATTATTATAAGCATGGAAAATGTCAAGCATGATGAGAAATGAGGCAGAAGGCTAATATGCTACTCATTGTGAGAATCATTAAGGGAACTACAATGAACGTCAAATTAGCAGACCTTAAATGTTGAGAAAGGTCAGCCCCTGGTATTACCAATTCGGCAACAGAGACATTATAATCAGGGATAAAAACCTATAAAATAACAAAGAGACTGGATCAACAAAAGATATAGATATGCGAACAAAAAATACAGTATACTTAGCAGGTCCATCTTGAGTTGTACTATATTGATAGAAATGCTAACAAAACGAAAGAACAAGGATGACAAAAGAAAAACACAAATGGACAGTAGATAATAGAAAAATTTACCAATTTCAAAAGATCTCCAATATCAGAGTCATTATTGATTTTTTCGGCCACAGAATGACAAAGTTTGATAATCTTCTTAGCAATTTCATAACCAGGAGCTGCTTTCCCACCAATTATGCAAACGCGGGGTACAACTTTCCTCAGGTCATTCTTGTCCATATTCTGCAAGAAAGTAAGAAATAAATGAAATAAAAAAAAGAGTTGATGCCTCAGTATAACTCATAATGGAAAATGATGATCAGTTTGTATGTGTAGGTGATTAAGAATTTAAACCATAACTGAGGGGAATAACAGATTCTATGTGCTAAGCTAAACACTCAAGTGCAGAAAGAACAAAGAGCATCATAATAAATAGTGAAAGCGGATTTTACATTCCAAAAGAACATGTTTTTATTTTAATGGAAACATATATTTTTCTATTTGAAATTATCATTTACCTTGAGACAATCATATCTATGGATTATTCCAAATATATTAAGCAATTGTCTTTTGTATTCATGGATACGCTTCACCTGAACATCAAACATTGCATCCAAACTGACCTGCAATTATGAAAGACATAGGAAAATATAACTTCTACTGTAGTAATGACAAAGAAAAAAAAAGTTCAGGTAAAACTATGTTACTTAAACCTTCACACCACTCATTGCTTCAATGTATTCAGCAAGCCTCATTTTATTGACTTTTTTAACCTACAATTTCAAAAAGATAGAAAGACATATCAAGCAGATCATATGATGCGTATTGGATATTAATCACCTGCAAAGTAGGAAGAAATAGGGAAGAGAATCAACAAATAAGTAATGAGAACAATGCTACCCCAGACAGAGTGGTTATCTATTCTCCCAATTCTCATTCAAAATCTCCTCTGTTATTCTGCACAACTTCCCATACAACAGACTTTTCCCCAGACAGTTTCTCTCTTCTAACTAACTTCTACTATCTCCCCACAAAAAGATATTGGATATTAGGCCCCTACTGTTTGGGCCTTCGTGAATACACCCTAAAAGGCTTATCCCACTTAGAAGTTAATTTCCTATCAATACCACCCACTATAGAAGCTACCTTGTCCTCAAGGCAGAAAGAGGGGAATTTTTACTGGATGGATGCGGCTGTTTCACAGGCCGCCTCCTCTACGGGTTGAGACTTCCAAAGGATGAGCCACTCAATTTGGTGGCTTCCCTGATGATTTTGCCTTCACAAGTAGCTAGCTAGCACAGCCTCTGGACTGGGGGTTTCGGATTCTTCAATCTCCAATCCAGAAGGAGGATAGTCACAGCAGAGCCATTCATCACAGAACGTTTAAGTTGAGAACATTGAAGACCGGGTCAACATGGGCCCACCAAAAAAGAGACCTGGAAAGGACCTAAGTAACGAGGAGACAACTTGGGGTTAATCTGTTGGGCTACAGACTGCTGCCTATGCGGTAGCCAGTCACCCTCAACCTAAGTCACTAGACAATGATGAAAATATGCGTGTTTCTTCAATGTTTGTTGTGCATGCTGTAACAGAAATTTGAGCTGATGAAGGGCCTCATCATGATCTAACATCTACTACAATCACAGCATCGGAGGGTGTAGGGTTCAACTGTAAACAATTTCAAAATGCTATTTTCCTTTTGCAGAATGGGAAGATGCATTGTAGCAGAATTCTGCCATTTCATATAATAAATAAATCTTGAAAAATTACCATTTTCCATTCTTGATGGAAATCAGGATTGTCAACATGATCTCTCAATCCTGTCAGAAGGTCAGCATTACGTATCCAGGCTTCAGTTCCTAGCCATTTTGATATAAGAGCACATAAACTAGGATTGCTCACCACAATCCACCGTCGCTGACAAAGTATCAATTCATTGGCTTATTAGTTGTCGCACAATACACACATAATCTCACATTTTTAATGAAGAATAGTTACTTTAAAGAGAAATATGAACAAATATGAAGCATCTTAAACTTACTTGATCAATGGACAACACTATATAAGATGTAATCAAGATAAAGTCTCCCAACAAATGGTACTCACAAGGAGGTAACAAATTTCATTAAGCAAAAAGTAGAATTGTGTGTTTCTAGAGTGTTGACAGCCTTTATGGTCACAGAAAATAATTCTACTTGGTCACAGAAAATTTATAAAGATAAATTTTACAACAGATACAGCCCAATTCAAGAGTAAGCCACCTAAGCCATTTCGTATAACTAGATATTGATAGCAGGAGAACAACAGCTGCATTGTACATATACTGTAATAGTAACTGATTTTCTACCTGGGTTACACCATTTGTCTTATATTGAAATTTTTCAGGCCATAGCTCACAGAAGTCCTGCAAAGTAGAACCAATAATTTATTGCTTTATATTTCACAATCAGCCAAGGTGATAAGGACAGTGAAGTGATTTGGCACGATTAATTCATACCTTAAATGTTGTCATTTTCAGTGTATCTAAATGCAATTTTGAAACACCATTAACAATATGGGCGCAAACAATTGACAAGTTGGCCATTCGAATGTTCTGCAAATGTAATATATAATCATAAAAACAATACATCAAACAAACACTTCCTTAAATAACATATCAAGAAAACAAGAACCACAATTACAAATTTCTTCGAATTTGGAAACAATGTTTCAATATTCTGGGATTACTATCCAACAGTGCACAAGAATACAGAAGCATACATCCGTTGTTCAGCTAAGAAGTTAGTTAATACAACAGCTTATCAGGAAAAAGACATCTCTATGTTGTCTTGTATGATAGTGCGTTACAACAAACTCTTCTCCTAATTCACATATTTCTTACTGATGCTCTTCATTTGTATGCCATCTAAATCAGGGAGCCTTATGCACTGCAGTCATTTTGACTCAATTCCTAAATGGTTGTTGAATTTATGTGGATTCAGAAGATTATAGACATGAAAATAGTTTGGGGTGGCATGAATCAAGTGTATAGCTAGCTAATGAACATAAATTTTAGAGAGACGAGGGACTCCTCAAGGTAAGCATGGCTACTAACTGAAAATTCCTCAAGAAAGTGAGCACATCCAAAGTTGAATGGATAAGGGAGGTAACAAAGTACTCCAAGTTACATATTAAAATATATGAAAATATCTTAGATTTTCCTCTGCAATTAGTTTCCCTCCCTATTTCCTTGTTAACACTTAGATTGGTTATCATTTCTTTTTTAGTTTCAAAACAGTTGAGTTGGGTGATCTTAATTATTTTCTGGATATCAAATTCAAAAAGCAACCTGATGGCACCCTCTTGCTCACTCAAAGCAAGTATAGGGAGGACCTTTTGACCAAAACCAATATGATTGAAGCCAAGTCTATTTCCTCTCCAATGACACCTGGTTTAAATTGTCAAAGTTTACTGCCAGATCTACCTATGTACTGGTCAGCGGTTGGTAAACCAAGATAAGTTTTGCAGTCAACAAGGCTTGACAATTTAAGGTAAATCCCCTCTACTATAGTCACATTGGATTGTGGTTAAATGGATCTTAAGGTACTTAAAGGAGTCCTTAAAGTGTGATTTACAGATCATTCCCACATCTCAAGTTCAGACCTTGTCATTAAAATCATTTTGTGATGCTGGCTGGGCAGCGTACCTGATGAGTGCCAGTTCACATCAGGAGCAGCCATCTACTTTGGTTCAAACCTAATTTCATAGTGGTCCCACAAGTAACAAGCTTTTTTCCTGATCCAGCATTGAGGCTTTATATGGCAGCCTAGTCAATGGTACAGCAGAGTTGTTAGTAGGTTGATCCTGGTATAATATCATATTTGTAACCAAACAGCTGGATTTCACTCATTCATTAAGCTTTTGTTTTAAGAATTAACATACATAACACTAGACATTATCTGATAGTCAAATTGCATAATCTACAACTTTCCCAGTAAGAAAATAAGCAAATGCAGGAAGAAGTTATAGCCTACAACAATTACCAGATAAAAATTGACAAATTGTTCTAGATACCTTCACAGCACCTTCTTCAACAATTGACATCCGGGACAGACGGTTGTAATCTAAACCAATCTTTTTCTTTAACTCCTCCATAAAATTAAAATTTATTTCATATAAAATCTGAAAAAGGCATTCAATATAATCATATTATAATAATTTAAAAAAAAAAAAAAAAAAAAGGAAGTACTTTTATGAGAACAAGAACAAAACACTATTTAGATTCATCAACATTTCCATCCTAACGTACAAGGTGAAAAAAGGATCAAACATACCTGTTTTCCGGTGAAATATGTATGTAAGGTAAAACATTACATAAAATACTGAAACTCAAAGTTTGTCTTGATAAACATACTTGTAAATGACGAGGGAGAAGGCTGCCAAGCAGATCAACAGGGATTTTCTCTAGTCCTTCAGCTACCATTGTGTGAGTTGTAAAAGAGAAAACTTTGCATGCAATGTCCCATGCTTTATTCCAGCCCAGATGTTCTTCATCTACTAATATTCGCATAATTTCAGCAATTGAAAGGGATGGATGGGTGTCATTTAGATGTAGAGCGACCTAATTATAGGAAAGGAAAAACTTAAGTCACAAGACAATAGTGAGAACTGTTAGAATCTATTTTATTAGCTGTTTTAATTCTGTCAGGATTTGTGTTTTATTGTTTCCTTATTTTGCAGATTATAATTATAGTGTATGATGGTATCCCTGAATCATAGGGATTCGGTTGTCTAGGCGCTATTATTATACTTCCTAAAATAGCTTTATAGCCTTGTATATATGAACTGTATTCTCAGAATAATAATATAGTGGATTCTACCCTAAATTATAAGATAATATCAGAGCTCTCAAATTCTAGGAGCCTTTGATTGCACATAACAAAATCCTAGATGGCAGCCTTCATTGCTGCCACCATACCTTTCAGGACAGCCTTCATTGCTGTTGCAAACCAAACCCTAGACAGCAGCCATCGTTGTTGTCAACCATCCCTTTCAGGACAGCCTTCATTGCTAACAATCGTTTTTTTTTTTTTTTTACGGCAGTCAGCCTTCATTGTTACTGTGATTTGCCGTGTTATTTCTTAGTTACAGTCGCCACAATCAAATACCTACTCACTACATTACGTGGACATGCCAGACCCAACTGCTGAAGTGGTGAATACTGCATCACAGAACACTAGAAAGGGAGGAAAAGCACACATAGGTGCTGCAACAAATGAAGCATACATAGTTGTTCTCTGGCACATTCAGGCACGTTTGGTAAGTTTCCTTCCTTTGGACTTAAAGCCTCAGATAATAACTATAACCTATATTGGATACTAGATTCTGGGGCTACCGACCACATGACACCCCTACCTAACCATTTCTCTTCTTACACCCCTTGCCCTAGCAACAAAAAAATATCCACGCTGATGGCTCTCTAATGATTGCGGCAGGTCAAGGAGAAGTCTAAATAAACCCATCCATAACCCTTAAAAATGTCCTTCATATTCCTAAATTGTCCATCAATTTGATTTCCAAAAAAAACTCATACAAGATCTATCATGTAATGCTATTTTTTATGACAATGTTTGTTTTCTACATGACAAGTACTCAGAGAGGATGATTGGACATGCTAGAGAATGGAATGATTTGTATTACTTGGACCATCCAAATCTGCCACCTGACCTCAAAATAGCACCTCTTTTTTCTCTTATTCAATAAGGACCAACAGGAAAAGGTCTTCCTACATCATTGTCACCTTGGACATCCTTCCTTTAGGGTCATAAAAACGTTATTTCCTTCCCTTTTTACCAAATTAGATGTGGCAAGTCTCAATTGTGAAGTGTGTGAACTTGTTAAGCACAAAACATGTTCCTTTTCCAGTTAGTAATAATACAAGCACTTTTCCATTCTATTTAATTTATATTGATGTGTGGGGTCCCTCAACTATCCCAAATGTTTATGGTGTCTGTTGGTTTCTTATCTTTATCAATGATTGTACTCGTGTCACATGGGTTTTCTTAATAAAACATAAATCCGAAGTCAACTATGTGGTTCAACGTTTTTTCTCCATGATAAAAAATCAATTTGGTATTAGCATTAAGTGGATTAGATCGATAATGCCAAAGATTATTTTAATCATGGGCTTTTTTCCTTTTGTCAAAAAGAAGGTATCATTCATGAGTTATCATGTGTCAAAACACCTCAACAAAATAGGATTGCTGAGAGAAAAAATGGGCACCTTCTAGACCAAACTCGGGCTCTTCTTTTTCAACATAAGGTTCCTAAAAGGTTTTGGGGGGAGGTTGTTCTCACTGCATGTTATCTAATTAATAGACTACCTTCTAGTATTCTAGCTTCCAAAAGCCCTATGGAGGTTCTGTCCTCTTTTTATCCTAATGTGTCTACATCCAACCACCTTGTTTCAAGAATATTTGGGTGTGTATCTTTTGTCCATGTCCACCACTTGATCCTAGAGCCTTAAAATGTGTTTACATAGGATACTCATCAACACAAAAGGGATATAAATGTTATCACCCACCATCCCAAAAATTCTTTTTGTCCAAAGATATCACCTTTTTTTAGCATAAAAGTTACTTCAACCAAGATCGGCTTCAGGGGGAGACTGCCAGAAATGAAGATGAACTCCTTATGCTCCTTGACTTAAGTTTAGGACTAGAAATAGGGACTAAAAGTGTAACAACAAAGAAGAAACCCACTAAATCCACTCAAGATTGGACTAATGTAAGATTTGGGAAAAAACCGGTTTATACAAGGAAGACAAAGGTCATTCCAAAATCTGTCTATGTCCAACAATCCAACCCAACATTACTTGAGGTAACTACCCCCAATCCTTTAATATACACTGAATCAACCTCTGATTTTCCAAATGTACAGGAACCTGAATCTAGTTCAGCACCACTTTATAAGGACCTAGATATTCCAATTGCCCTTAGGAAAGAGACTAGGAAATGTACCACCAAGCCACTGTACCCTCTAGCCAATTACCTATCCTTTAAAAACTTTTCACCTACCCATAAAGCCTTTCTCACAAGCCTAAACACTACAACCACACCTACCTCTTTATATGAGGAATTGAGTGATAAAAAATGGAAACAAACCATGGATGCCAAAATGGAAGCATTAGAAAAGAATAGTACCTGGGATTTGGTTGCTCTCCCAAATGGAAAAAAACCAGTAGGGTGCAAGTGGGTAAATACTATAAAATACAAGGCTGATGGATCCATTGAGAGGTACAAAGCAAGGTTAGTAGCTAAGGGATTCACTCTAACCTATGGAGTGGATTACATGAAAACATTTGCTCCAGTTGCAAAAATGAATACAGTTAGGGTGATGTTATCCCTAGCAGCTAATTATGGTTGGAACTTGCAACAGTTTGATGTTAAAAATGTCTTCCCTCCATGGAGAAATTGAAGAGGAGATCTACATGGAATTACCCCCTAGATATGGTGGAAAAACAACTTCCAACACTGTTTGCAAGTTAAAAAAGGCATTGTATGTGCTGAAACAATCACCGCGAGCGTGGTTGGAAGGTTTACTAAAATTATGATAGGTCTGGGCTTTAAACAAAGTCAAGGAGACCACACTTTGTTCATTAAACACTCTAAGTCAAGGAGAGTAATAGAGTTATTGGTTTATGTGGATGATATTATAATGACAGGTGATGATGAGGAGGAGCAACAACTGTTAGGCCATCATCTGGCCAAGAACTTTGAAATTAAGACCTTGGAAAAATTGAAGTATATTTTGGGACTTGAAATGGCCCATTCTAAAAAGGGAATATTCACATCTTAATAGAAATATATCACTCATTTGTTGAAAGAAACTAGCAAGACAGCATGCAAGCCTGCAACTACACCAATTGACCCAAACCTAAAATTGGGAAACGCAGAAGAAGATACTGCAATTGACAAGGAAATGTATCAAAGGCTAGTTGGTAGAATGATATATTTATCTCACACTAGACCTGATGTTGCATTCGCTGTGAGTCTAGTTAGCCAGTTCATACACCAACCGAAGGAGGTTCACTTACAAGTTGCACTAAGAATTGTGCAGTATTTGAAGGGGACCCAAGGTAGGGGAATTTTGTTTGAACGCAATGGGAATGTAAGTCTGGAAGCATATACAGATGCAAACTATTCAGGGTCAATTGTGGATAGGAGGTCAACTACGGGATATTGCACTTTCCTTGGAGGGAATCTTATGACTTAGAAGAGTAAAAAACAAAATGTGGTAGCCAGATCCACTGCTGAAGCAGAATTCAGGGCAATGACACAAGGGATATGTGAACTACTTTGGTTGAAGATCATCTTGGAAGACTTAAGAATAAAATCGGATGAACCAATACTTTATTGTGATAACAAATCTGCTATTAGCATAGCTCATAATCTAATACAGCATGATAGAACCAAACATATTGAGGTTGATAGACATTTTATAAAAAAAAAAACTAGACAGTGGTCTGATCTGCGCTCCATATGTCTCCTCACAAGACAACCTTGCAGATATTCTAACGAATGGGCTGAACAGCAACAACTTTGAAAGTATTGTTTCCAAGCTGGGAATGAAAAATACCTATTCACCAGCTTGAGGGGGAGTGTTAGAATTTATTTTATTAGCTGTTTTATTTCTGTCAGGATTTGTATTTTATTGTTTCCTTATTTAGCAGATTATAATTATGTGTGTGATGGTATCCTGAATCATAGGGATTCAGTTGTCTAGGTGCTATTATTATACTTCCTAAAATAGCTTTCTAGCCTTACAAGATATATACAGGAGACCTAAGCTATTTTAGGAAATATAATAACTCTATTTTATTCTAGGATCCCTTGATTTATGGGATTGTTCTTAATTGTTCAAATTTGTACAAATTACAAATTTCCTAATTTATTCTTTCCTAAAATACTATTTGATTTCCCACACTCCCCCTCAAGCTGGTGAATAGGTGTTTTCCATTCCCAGCTTGGATACAATCTTCTCAAAATTGTGACAGCTCAGTCCCTTGGTAAGAATGTCTGCAATTTGGTCTTGAGAGGACATATATGGAGTGCATATCAAGCCACTATCAAGCTTAAATGTCTGTTTACTTCAATATGCTTTGTTCTATCATGTTGCATTAGGTTGTGGGCTATGTTGATTGCTGACTTATTATCACAATAGAGCTTCATAGGTTCTTCCCATTTTATCCTCAAGTCTTCTAAGATGATTTTAAACCATAGCAACTCACATATTGTTCCAAGTTCCAACCATAATTGGCAACAAGAGACAATATCACCTTAACTGTGTTCATTTTGGCAACAGAAGCAAAGGTCTCCAAATAATCAACTCTATAGGTTTGGGTGAACCCTTTGGCAACTAGTCTTGCCTTATATCTCTCAATTGATCCTTCAGTCTTGTATTTCACTGTATAGACCCACTTACATCCAATTGGCTTCTTTCCTATTGGTAAGGTGACTAACTCCCAGGTGTTGTTCTTCTCCAATGCCTCCATCTCTACGTTCATGGCTTGCCTCTATTTTCTGTCAGACAATGCCTCAGATAGGGTATTAGGTAGAAGTACAGTGTTTAGGTTTACTAGGAAGGTTTTATGGGTAGGAGAGAAATTTTTAAAGGACAGGTAATTTGAGAGAGGATAGAGTGGTTGTTTGGTGCATTTTCTTGCCCCTTTTCTAATGGCAATTGGGAGGTCAGGATCATTTTGGGTTTCAATTTCAACCTGCACAGCTGTAGAAAAAATTGTTACCTCTTTTTGTGGAGTCAAGTTGGATTCTTGAACATGGCTTGATCCTGGAATGACCTTAGTCTTTCTTGAATACACCAATTTCTTACTAAATTTTCCAGCTTCAACATCTTCTTGATCAGCTTCACAAATTAATTTCACTTTCTTGACCAAATTCCTTTTCTTGACCAATTCCTTAACTTGTTTCACTTGTTACAGCTTCAATTTGATCTAGTTTAGGTTCAAATATCAAGTCGGGAAGAATGAGAATTTAGGTTCAAATATCAAGTCTGGAAGAATGGAAAAACCAGAATTACTACTTTCCTTATCTTCCCTTAAACTCTTCCCCTGAAGATAAGGTTCATGGAAATTGTTCATTGAAGGTAACATCCCTAGACACATAATTTTTTGGATGGGAGGTGGTAGCATTTATACCCTTTTTGAGTGGGTGAGTAACCAACAAAGACACACTTTAAGACTCTAGGATCAAGTTTCCCCCTGTCTGTACTATGAATATGGACATATGAGATGCACCCAAAAACTCTTAGTTTAAGATTATTTGTAGTGGACAGATTTGGATAGAAAGACGACAAAGCTTCCATAGGGCTTTTTGATCCTAAGACTCTAGAGGGTAGTTTATTGATAAGGTATGTTGCTATAAGGGCAGCTTCCTCCCAGAAATTTTTTGGGATACTTTTTTGGAACAACAATACCCGAGTCTGATTTAATAAATGTCCATTTTTCCTCTCTGCGACCCTATTCTGCTGTGGTGTTTTTGACATAAGAGGACTTATGAATTATACTTTTTTTTTGACAAAAAGAATTAAGGACATAATTAAAGTAATCTTTGACATTATCTTACCTAAGCCTCTTAATATTAACACCAAACTGATTTTTTATCAAGGAGTGGAAGTTTAAGAAGACAGAACTGACTTCTGATTTTTGTTTAAGCAGGAAAACCCAAGTGACCCTTGTACAGTCATCTATAAAGGTGACAAACCATCGAGCACCAGACACATTTGGAACATTAGAAGGTCCCCATACATCAGTATGAACAAGATAAAAAGGGAAATTGCTAATTCTATTACTTATTGAAAAAGATATACGCTTGTGCTTAGCAAGTTCGCACACCTCACAATGAAGACTCTCAACATCTAACTTGGTAAACAGAGAGGGAAACATAATTTTGATCACTCCAAAAGAGGGATGTCCCAACCGACAATGATAAAGTATGATTTTTTCTCTGTTGGTCATCAAGGATTCAGATATGAAGGAGTGAAAGATTTTGTTCTTGTTGAACAGACTTGGATCTTCGAGATAATAAAGGTCATTCCATTCTCTAACATGTCCAATCATCCTCCCTGAATCCTTGTCCTGAAATACACAATAATCGTTGAAAAAAACAACTTTACATGACAAATCCTTCATAAGTTTTTGTATAGACACTAGCTTGGTGGACAGCTTTGGGACATGGAGAACATCTTTTAAGGTTATTAAAGGATTGATTTGGATATTTCCTTGACCAGCTACAGTTATAAGGGTTTCATCTGCTGTGGCAATTTTCTTGTTGCTGGGACATGGGGAATATGTGGAGAAGTGTTTGGCTAATGGTGTCATGTGGTCTGTGGCTCCAGAGTCCAATATCCAATAATGGTTAAAAGGTGTATCTGAGACATTTAATCCAAAAGAAAATGGAAACTCACCTGAGTATGCCAAAGAACACACACCTGTACGTTTTTTCAGCTTACTAAGAAAGGTTCTCACCCTTTCTATCTCCTCTTGGTTACGATGGGCAGCAGCTTCTGGATTATTTCCTTCATTTGTTTCAGCAACAACATAAACTTGTCCTCCTTTCCTTAAAGAGTCTCCTCTGTGTCCTCCTTCTCGATCTCGATTTAAAGGCTTCCCATGTAACTTCCAATACTTCTCTCGAGTATAACGAGACTTATTGCAGTAAGTACATTTGCTAGAGACCATCACCTTTCTTCTCCACATTTGCTGATCCTCCTTTCTTCTGTTCGGCTACCCCTTTTCTATTCAACACTGTACGAACAAGTTGGGCCCACTTCAAATAATTTCTTCCATTTAGTCTATATACAGAATGGATATTCTGTAGTTCTCCAGATTGCTGAGATTGGATATTCCCCGTTTTTGGGGTTGGGTTCACAACTTCCTCTTCCCTTGACATTATAGCAAGAAGGTGCGATGCAACAACAACACAGGCTGCCGTCTTAGGGTTAAGAAAAATGCAGCAACAATGCAGGCTACCGTCTTAGGGTTAAGAGAAATGCAGCATCAATACAAGCTGTCGTCTTAGGGTTTATAGTACCCAGACAGAACTTACTAGATCGGAAGCTCTGATACCATCTGGAAATTTAGATTAAATGAAATCTTATTTTATTATTTTAATACAAAGAGATCATACAAGATATATACAGGAGACCTAAGTTATTTTAGGAAATATAATAACTATTTCATTCTAGGATCCCTTGATTTATGAGATTATTCCTAATTGTTCAAATCTGTACAGATTACAAATTTCCTAATTTATTCTTTCTTAAAATACTATTTGATTTTCCACATATATGAATTGTATTCTCAGAATAATAATATAGTGGATTCTACCCTAAATTATAAGAAGAACATAATTATGTCACTATGTATAATCTAATGCCTAAAATAAAGTTTAACTCAAGTCCACCTTCACATATACTGAAGCAACAAATAGAAATCTGCTATGCTGGAGTGGTTAGTTAGAATAGTTAGTAAGAATATTTAGCAATTAAAGTTGTAGAGATAGGGAAATAGCTTTGCATAGGATGAGAGGGTAGAATAGTGGGAATTCTGTTTTGTTATAATGTAGGAACTGCACATTAGCTTTGTTTTAGCAAGGAGAAAAACCATTTACAGAAGGGAAACCCTTTTGAAGGAGAATCCCTCTTTAGTTCTTTGAAATTCAGTACACTGTACACTGCCAAAGCATTATTTTTCCTTTTCTTTCTCTGTTTTTCTTGCCTCTCTCCTTAAAAACTCTGAAGAACCCATGTCTAACCTGGGATAACCTGAAAACTCCCTGAATCTTAATGGAATAGAATCACTACAACAACAAAAAATGTTTAATTACTCATTTGGTTGCTATAGTTACAAAAACAAATTCCTTACTTGTACTTAAAACATTCCTGTTTAGTCCCTACACATACCATTTTTTCATCTTTTTTAGTCGTAATACATATCATTTTAATCCCTTTTAGTTCCTTCAGCAAGGACTATAAGAGATTAAAAATTATGCGCAGAGTAAAAGGGAACGTTTTCAAGTGTAGGGATGAAAAAGAAAAAATTTATAGATATGGGGATCAAATGAACAATCAAGCAAAATAAAAGGAACATCCAGAAATGACCATGGGATAACCTGAAACTTTGAATGGTCAATTGAATTTGAGAACCTTCTCACCATATGACAGCGGAATATTGAAAAAATATGTAAATTACGTATTACTGATAGTATTGCAAGAGTGGTTGGTAATCACCATACCAATAATTAACAACCAAATGTGCACAAGTACAAAATATTTGAAAATGAACCTTATCCGGCAACTCATCAAAGTTATCATGTGCTTCTTTGAACCTTCGGATGATGTCTTGCAAAGATGCTGAGACAAAAAAATATTGTTGTTTCAATCTCAGCTCCTTCCCCTGAAAATTACACTCAAAGTTAGTGGTGGACCGACAGCTATTCTGGGTTGGACAGTTTCACCCCCTCATTTCTGTAAAGTTACAATTAAATATATTAAATTTTTATGTCTTTGCACCCGTAATTTATAATGTTGACATCAGAGCCAAGTGATAGACCCATTAATATAAGGTGTGTAGTTATACTTTTTGCCCCCACTAGTCTGGGGTATTGGATCTGCCATTGCTCAAAGTGGTAACGTAGAGGGATTAAACCTCATCTTTCAGAATGGGGCAAAATGGTTACAAAGCCAAAATTTATCTTATTCATGAAAAATTCAAGTGACTTAATAAGCTTCCTAATGTATTGTTTCTAGACCAGCTGGTATGCTAAACAAGACAATAAATATTGTGTGGGAGAAAGCTAAACAAACTAAAATAACATGCATGGAATCTTACAACGGAAGCTTGAGAAACATTACAAAATAATGCACAACACTACACAAAAAACGAATGAAAACTTCGACAACAAAATGCAGAATATATATATAGATAGATAGATAAAACTTTGTACAAGTTCTGAACAGTTAAAAGCAAGGACTACATCAACACTTAAAAATAATAATAAGGGCATACCTGATGATTACGGTCATCAGGGTATAAAACATTACTTATAGTTTCTGCCCTTTGTCTGTTAACAACAGAGTTAATGTAATCTCCAGTGTTATAAGCCTCCTACAAAAACAATAGTAAAGAAGGGTTCCATGATTCACTCTAACCCCAAATAAAGAAAAAGATAAGGCAAACAAAACAGAGAGTAATGAACTGCAGCAGACCACTTTTCATCTTATTCTGTGGTACGCTCAGTCTCAGTAAGGGTATGGTCACATAGATTTAATGATCTAAATTGAATAATTTATTGTAAACGCCGCATGACCACACAGTTATTTTTTTACTTACTTAAACCTATATTATGATGAATCATGCCCATAATTTAGTCTCAAATTTGGAGCAGATGTTTATTCATAAGAAAATAATTACCAAATCAAATTGATTACTAGGTTTAGCAGCCCATAGTCGAAGGTTGAGGGTATTTCTTGTCCCGTAACCAGGTATTGGGTTGTCATAAGCCACAGCTTCAACCTGTAGTTCAGAAAGAACAAGTTTCTCATAAACATTATGCATATTCCAAGAGTCTAAAAGAAATGTAACAAAGTTAGCAGTATGCATAAATAAAAAATATTTGAAAAAAGTATCATTACAAACCAAATTAAAAATACTACTCTTACTGTCTCTCCAGGGACCCAAACATGATGCTTTTCTCCATTCATATCAACCTCTTCAACAGTCCCATAGAACTAATCCATCCAGAAGAACAGAGAGATGCAGTCAGTTTTTAATTTTGAGGTGATAAAAGTAAAAGAAAGGCAATAATATGAACAGAAACCATAAAATGATTCAAAAAGGCATAGAAGATGGAAGCTGGGAAAACCTTCACTTCATATGTTACATGAATACGCTCTATCTCCCAAGGATTTCCAAAATTCAGCCAATAATCAGGCTGCTCATGTTGATATCCATCCACTATGACCTGACGAAACAAACCATATTCGTATCGCAGCCCATAACTGCATGGTGAAGATCAAGCCCACAAACTCAGTCGACAGCAGCCTGTCTTTAAATAATAGGCATATTTGTTTTCTATACAACAAAGAGAAAAATATGTATACTTCTATTTGCCTGCCCAGTTCCAGAATCAAGTAGGTTGGAACTTGAAAAATGCATAAGAATAACACTGCAAAATTAACTGATGAATAGAATGTAATCCTCTATGGTACTCATGGTTTCATAGGTACAATTAGCACAGAAACTGGTAAAATATATTGTTGACAATAAATACAGTAACTTCCAAATTCATCATTTTAGGACAAGACACTCATAATGTGAATACGGTTTAGACACTAAGCTATTTAGACACAACTTCATTCTTATTTGACAATAGCACCAAAAATACACACAATGTACAAACTGATGAGACTTGGAAAAGCTTTGGGTATCATAACAACTAAATTTGGCCAAAATAACTAAGTATTAGATGTCCAAGCTTATAAGGCCAACTTCACAGCTCACAGCCTATATCTAGATTTAGAATATTCATTAAAAATTTAGAAACAGTAGGGTGAAACCATTACTGTTTCAAACCTGCTAGAAATTTTTTACAACAAATATGAAGGTCAGATCATACCCCCATGCAGGATAATCCAAAGTTGCCAAAGAATCCATTTGGCATGCTGAAAGACGAGCAAGGCCACCATTCCCTAAGGCTGCATCTCCTTCCTTGTCAGGGATGTCATGTACATGTGTATTAAGGGATAAAGATAACCAAATTGAATTCTCAGTAAGATAACAAGTCTACAACAGTAGACTGGGAATACAAAATGATTTAATTAAAAACATTAATAACACCTGCTCTGCCAAAACTTCAAACTCAAATCCAAGTTGGCTTAGGGCCTCTGCATATTGATCCTGGATGCCAAGATTGATTACACTATTTGACAAGGAACGACCTTATATACAAAAAAACATGTGTTCTTCAGAATTGGATACAAGAACAGCAGCAATTGTACACTTTCACAAGCACAACCATTGATTAACCATTCATCAAATGAATGAAAAAGGTTGGTATCAATTTTTTTAGTTATCTAACTTGTTATGACAAATTTAAGAAGAATTTTTGGATTGCTGTAGTTTCCTTCATAATTAAACCACCAGAGTACAAAAATGTATAGATACTTGCATCGGAACACAAAATATATATTAAACATTCTTATTTTGTATTATGGTATAATTGGAAAAATCCATGTCATGTAATACACTATTATTAGAAAATCCTAACACCATCACATTAAAGTCAACTGAGACAACAATTGCTTTGCTGACATGTGACAAAGAACAAGCGTCCCGCTACTTGCTTATACGCACATACACCATGCTCTATGATAAAAACTTTGGAAGCTAGCTGTTGTAAATGGCTCCAAGGTCTTATAAAACCTCACGTTTGCAATGTGGGATTCAAGTCTCATTTTGGATCCTAACATCTCACCGTGCTCCTTATTGTTTGTGCCCACGTGAGCTAGTGTGCACAAGCCCCTTTGACTAATCTCAAATGGCGCTGTCATCTGCAGCTAAGAGACACGGCAGAAGACTTCCGATACCAATTGATAAGAAACTTGGGTGAACCTCATTACAAAAGCTAGTAGTTGTAGTCAGAGACCAGATCGCCTTATCAAATACACACTAGAATCCCGTACTTCCAATGTGGGACTCAGGTCCTATACTTTTGAAATTGGATCTTAACACTTTCATACCATATGAAAGAACCATTTAACCTAAAAATGTTAAGCAATAACACCATCATTAGCTTAAAACTCAAAAAAAAAAAAAAAATCTATTTTGACATTTCTCACACATCAAAAGTTTTTAAGAGGCATTATTTCATGCATTTGCTTCCCTTTCAAAATAATAAATGTTTGGCTTAAATAAGTCGCAGGTTACAGTATATGACCAATTTTTGTTTTGATTACCTAATAATTTTTTTCTTCAAATTGAGTACCTATTAAAACAAAAAATTTGGTTTATGTATTTGACCTTACCTTTGTCTATTCTACAACCCACGTGTTTATTAAGTTGAAACACAACATATCACATAGTCTTGAGTGTTTAAGAATGATATGCATTAAGTCTTTTTTGTTACTTGTACAGACAGAATACATCTCCATATGGTGGAAAACTTATCCATTGTTATGATAAAAATAAGCTGAAGGACCAAACAAGAGAGTCAACATAATAGTAGGAACAAAATACAAACAAATATTTTTTTTCAAGAACTTAGACCAAAATTATATAATTCATTAGTTACCTAATTTGAAATTAAAAAAAAAATATATTGAATACTTAAAACAAAAATCAATCATATATTAACAACATAAAATTTATTTAAGCCTGAATATTTCTTATTTTCTTTCTTCTCTTCTGGTTATTGACCAGGGTATTCACACCGGCAATACTGTCAGACTAACACCTTGGGTAATTTTGCAACTAGGAGCCTCTTTCAGATCTAAAATTTGGTCCACCCACGCAAGTGTCTTGCTTATTGCTGCTCAAACCATTACAGGTGAATATATGATGTATTCTATAAGTTCATTTGATAACATAGAATTTCATAATTAATTAATAGCTAAAAAGAAAGATTAGAAAAGGTAGAAATATTTCCCAATCACTTGAGGAAATCCTCAGTGGATTGCATAAAAGATCATGATTGGCATTCACTAATTTGAGGAAACTGGGGAGGAAAATAAGTCAGAAAATATACAGCCTCTAAACAGGAGATCCTATCCAAGAGAAAGTTTAATATATTTTTTAATCATAGATAAATGATGAAACTTATACATGGAACTTGAACATGCTTATAAAAAATAGAAACTAACTTGGTGAAAGAAATAAATAGTAAATAAAGCTAATGTGCCAAACAAAATTTATGGCATCATTTTAATTACCCATAAGAAACTCAAGAGAAAGGAAGTAGAGGCGCTTAGGTTTTGTTCTCTTGAAGTAACTGTGAGTGTCATGCCAGCGTTCAATCAACCGATCTCTTACACTGTGTGACAAGGCCTGCAATTACTATCACACAAAATCAATTTTTTTATGATAGCCATTAAGAATATGGCCAGCAGTAGGCCAAAACGCTTTCATATAATGAAGAACTGGATCACAAAATGTCAAACAGATAATAGTGGGATAAGCTTTAACTTTCCATATCTGAAGACTGAGTTACTTCTACAACAAAGTTCATTGGACAAAACGCAAACATGAATAACAACATGCTATGTATTCCTTCAAGGTTTCAACTGTTATCTCGCCAATACAAAATCTCCTATAAAAATATCATAATGACACATCAAAATTACTTGGTCACCCTCTCATCCTCTCAACATCCTTCAATCAAGGGAAGGGTCCAGTGAAAACTCTAAGAGTGTAGGTTCAAGAATACTAAATATATCATATTAAATACTCATTATAGTTACATAAAAAAGCATGTCCGAATGATCTACATGTTTATTACATAATAAATGCTTTCTTTTCCGCTAAATACTTTCAATTTCTGTTTCTTAAAAAGCGTCCTTAGGTTTTGTCAGCTTTTTTCCATGAAGAAAACCTTGAATTTGCAGTAAACATCTAGGTTTCCATTAGGATTCCTAGTGATGATTCTAATGAAAATTCAAACATGGATTTCTAAAGTTCAAATCAATAGAGAAAGGATTCTAATAATTATTTCCTTGTCCTAAGGTAATGATTGAGGAATTAAAGGAAGGAAATTTCGTTTACAACAGAAAAGGAAATCATTTTTATCAATAATGTAATATTTAAGTCATCAATTTATCACCATCATAATTTCTAAGTAAAGCCCTTCATGTATTTAGTCAATAACCATTGTCCCTTGTTCACATATAAAATTAACAGTTAACCATCATAGTTAATTGAGACATGTTACCATAAAAATCGCATTTCAACAATATATAGGCTTAGGGTGTACAAGGTTTATTTAAAAGCTTTTTCCTAGAAAGATGTTTCGAAACTTGAGGAGTACCTTAAATCTCTGTCACATATAGCCTCCATTAAAAAATACACTAACTTTTTAGTCTCAAATTATATTATTCATTCCACACTTTTGTTTAATATTCTTTTTCTCTTTCTCTTACGATCACTTAATACATCTTATCATTGACCCAGCAAGCTGTCTTAGAAGTTAGATACTCGGAAAGCCCCTAACAGTGGTCTTTTACCTGATTCGTCAAGAATTACTTCCCATGGAGTGTGCGTTGAACCAAAAAATTATCTCATACTCTTTGTTCTGTTCATATCTCTCTGTCTTTCAAATAAATTACACAATTACAAAATCTCGTTTTCCCTCTTCCATTTCCGATAACCCTATCTACGCTTGAACAACACACACCAAAAATGTGGCAGAGCAAATCATAAAGAAGGACATTCATACTAAACCGAAAGCAATGAAGTTGGAAGGCAGCGTACCTGATACGCTTCGAAATCGTCGAAACTAAATCGTGACCTTGCCACAGTGTACTCAACATGATTCAGAATATCCTTTTGAAGACTGAGAGGATCATTCTTCAGAAAGCCGTCCATTAAGCTAAACATTCTCTCCGCTTTCGCGCGACGCTCGCCAACGCCTTCCACCAGTCCAGGCCTCCTCACCACAACCCCTGGGTTTGCCGCCGCCGATCTCGCCACCGACACCGTGCCGTACCCGTCACCGCCGACCGCCTCAGCCAACGCTCGCTTGATCCTCTCCAGGCTGTCGCAGTCCTCGATTTTGTTGCCATGAGAATCGGTGACGAAGAACTTCTTGACGAAGAAGTCGCCCTCGAATTCGACGGTGGCGCGGTCAACCGTGAGGCCAAGGACCTTGAAAACCCTGGTTATGACCTGGAGGAGGCCAATTCGGTTGCGGGCGCGGATGACGAAGGCGGTGGAGTCGGCGGCGGTGGAGTTGTCGACGACGATGGAGGACGTGGAGACTTTAGCGGAGTCGCTGGCAGAAGCTTGCAACGGGATGCTCCGCCGAGCGGTGGTGTATGGCACGGAAAGCGAGGAGAAGTGTGCGGAAGAATGGAATGGAGAGAGTGGATTCGGAAATGAGAGTGAGGGAGTGGGAGTGAAGAGAGGGAACGAACATATTTGCATTTTGGGGAAGAGTTTAGATTTAGTGAAGCGGTGACATGAGTGAGTGTGTGGTATGTATGAGTGAAATGGAAAATGTTCGTGAGAGAGAGAACAGAGAAAGAGAAGGAGAATAGCGGTAATCGTGAAGTGTCACAAGTTACAACTAACTACTTTTAAAAAGTGTATGCCTTTCCGATTAGAGGAGGCAAGATGCTTCTGATATGCCATACTCATCGCCATGTCACTGCTCACACGTGAAACCCAGACTATATTTTTGGAATATACAATACAGATAAATAAATATTACCCAATATGTGAGATTATTGATAAATGTTACATACAACAAACCCCAATAGATCAGTTAAACTTACATAAACCATACTACTCAGATTACACCATATTACAATTACTTAAAATTCTTTCTACAAAATCAATTATCAAAATTTATATGTTTTAAAATTTTGAGTTGAAGAATTTTTTTAATAAAATTATTCCACTATATTCTTTCAAGGCGTTTTTTTTCTTGTAGTTTTGAGTAATATTGAAATATTTTTTTAATTTAGTTTTCATAGTTACACCCGTCGAAATTTCTATAATCTTTGTGATGAGGAATTTTTTTACCAAAAAATTCCACTCACCCTTCTAAATATCTTTTTTTTTTTAGTAATATCTTTACATTTTTCGACTTAAGTTTTCGTAGATAGATTAGTTAAAAATTTCTACAATTTTTTCTGTTGGAGAATTATTTTAATATAAAAATTCAACTACACTCTTTCGAGATCGTTTTGTTTTTTATTTTTCTATTTGTTTTGAGTAATATTTTTACATTTTAGGATTTTAGCTTTCGTAGTTAGACCAGTAAAAAATGTGTACAATTTTTTTTGTTGGGGATTTTTTTAGTAAAAATTTTTCACTCGTGGTGTTTCAAGCTCATTTTTTTCTATTTGTTCCGAGTAATATTCTAACTTTTTAGGAATTAAGTTTTTGTAATTACACCAGTGCGAAATTTATACACCTCTTTTGTGTTGGAGATTTTTTTTAATAACAAAATTTCACTCGCACTCTTTTAGGCTCTATAATTTATTTTCTCTTTTTTTTTTAGTAATAATTTTACATTTTTGGAATTCGGTTTTTGTAGTTACACCAGTAAGAAATTTCTATAATTTTTTGTGCTGGGTAAAAACATTCCACTGTAGTGTTTCAAACTCAATTTTTTATTTTTCTACTAGTTTTGTGCTGAGGAATTTTTGTAATAAAAAAATTATACTACACTCGTTTCAAGCTCATTTGTTTATTTTTCTGTTTGTTTTGAGTAATATTGCTACATTTTAGGAATTGAGTTTTCGTAGTTACACTATTACAAAATTTCTAAAATTTTTTGAGTTCGAGAATTTTTTTAATAAAATTATTCCACTACATTCTTTCAAAGTCGTTTTTTTATTTTTCTTGTAGTTTTAAGTAATATTGAAATATTTTTTAATTTAGTTTTCGTAGTTACACTAGTCAGATATTTCTAAAATATTTGTGCTAGGGAATTTTTTTCGCAAACAAATTTCGCTCCACTCTTCTAAAAATCTTATTTTCTATTTGTTTTGAGTAATATCTTTACATTTTTTGAATTAAATTTTCTTAGTTAGACCAATTAGAAATGTCTACAATTTTTCTGTTGGAGAATTCTTTTAATATAAAAATTTAACTACACTCTTTCAATATCGTTTTGTTTTTTATTTTTCTATTTATTTTGAATAATATTTTTACATTTTAGGATTTTAGTTTTCGTAGTTAGACCAAGTAAAAAATTTTTACAATTTTTTTTGTTAGGAAATTTTTTTATAAAATTTCACTCCACTCTTTCAAAGTTTGTTTTTTTCTAGTAATTTTTTGGGAGAATTTTTTTAGTAAAAATATTTCATTGTGGTGTTTCAAGCTCATTTTTTTCTATTTGTTTTGAGTAATATTCTTACTTTTTAGGAATTTAGTTTATGTAATTACACCAAGTGCAAAATTTCTACACCTCTTTTGTGTTGGGGATTTTTTTCAATAAAAAATTTTCACCGCACTCTTTCAGGAGTGTTTTTTTTTTCCTTATTGTTTTGAGTAATATTATAACATTTTTGGAATATAGTTTTCATAGTTACATCATTGAGAAATTTATACAATTTTTTGTGTTGCGGAGAATTTCTAGTAAAAAAAATTCCAATGCACTCTTTTAGGCTCTATAATTTATTTTCTCTTTTTTTATTAATAATTTTATATTTTTGGAATTCGATATTTGTAGTTACACCAGTAAGAAATTTCTACAATTTTTTGTGCTGGGTAAAAATATTCCACTGCAGTTGTTTCAGGTTCAATTTTTTATTTTTCTAGTAGTTTTGTGTCTGGGAATTTTTATAATAAAAGAATTTCACTACATCGTTTCAAGCTCATTAGTGTATTTTTCTGTTTGTTTTGAGTAATATTGCTACATTTTAGGAATTGAGTTTTCGTAGTTACACACGAGTACAAAATTTCTAAAAAATTTTGAGTTCGAAATTTTTTTTAATAAAATTATTCCACTACACTCTTCCAAGGTTGCTTTTTTATTTTTTTTCCGATAGTTTTGAGTAATATTGAAACATTTTTTTAATTTAGTTTTCGTAGTTACATGAGTCGAAATTTCTAAAATTTTTGTATTGGAGAATTTTTTTAGCAAAAAATTTCGCTTCATTCTTCTAAATATCTTATTTTCTACTTATTTTGAGTAATATCTTTATATTTTTCGAATTAAGTTTTCGTAGTTATATCGGTTAGAAATTTCTATAATTTTTTTTGTTAGAGAATTCTTTTAATATAAAAATTCAACTTGCACTCTTTCGAGATTGTTTTGTTTTTTATTTTTTTATGTTTTGAGTAACAATTTTACATTTTAGGATTTTAGTTTGTGCAATTTTTTTTGCTGGGCATTTTTTTTATAAAATTCCACTCGGTCTTTCAAATCTTATTTTTGTTTCTAGTAGTTTTTTTGGGGAATTTTTTAGTACAAAAATTCCACTATGGTGTTTCAAGCTCATTTTTTTATTCTACTTGTTTTGAGTAATATTCTTACTTTTTAGGAATTTCTACAATTTTTTTTCTGTTGGAGAATTCTTTTAATATAAAAATTCAACTCGCACTCTTTCGAGATCGTTTTGTTTTTATTTTTCTATTTGTTTTGAGCAATATTTTTACATTTTACAATTTTAATTTTCGTAGTACCACCGGTAAAAAATTTGTACAATTTTTTTATAAAATTCTACTCCGCTCTTTCAAAGCTTGTTTTTTTTTCTAGTAGTTTTTTTGGTGAATTTTTTTAGTAAAAAAAAATTCCACTATGGTGTTTCAAACTCATTTTTTTATTCTACTTGTTTTGAGTAAAATTCTTACTCTTTAAGAATTTAGAATTCGTAATTACACCAGTGCAAAATTTCTACACATCTTTTGTGTTGGGGATTTTTTTCAATAAAAGATTTCCACAACACTCTTTCAGGCGCACTTTTTTTTTCTTGTTGTTTTGAGTAATATTGTAACATTTTTGGAATTTAGTTTTCGTAGTTACACCATTTAGAAATGTATACAATTTTTTTTGTTGCAGAGAACTTCCAAGAAAAAATTTCACCGCACTCATTTAGGCTCTATAATTTATATTCTCTTTTTTTAGTAATAATTTTACATTACATGAGTAAAAAATTTCTAAATTTTTTTGAGTTTCGGAATTTTTTTAATAAAATTATTCCGCTACACTCTTTCAAGGTCCCTTTTTTATTTTTCTTGTAGTTTTGAGTAATATTGAAACTTTTTTTTTAATTTAGTTTTCGTAGTTACACTAGTCAAAAATTTCTACAATTTTTGTAATGGGAAATTTTTTTAGCAAAAAAATTTTGCTCCACTCTTCGAATGTCTATATCTTATTTTCTATTTGTTTTGAGTAACATCTTTACTTTTTTCGAATTAAGTTTTCATAGTTAGACCAGTTAGAAATTTCTACAATTTTGTCTTTCTATTAGGGAATTCTTTTAATATAAAAATTCAACAAAGACTCTTTCGAGATCGTTTTGTTTTTTTTTTCTATTTGTTTTGAGCAATATTTTTATATTTTACGATTTTAATTTTCGTAGTACCACCGGTAAAAAAAATTTACAATTTTTTTTGCACGGCAATTTTTTTATAAAATTTCACTCCACTCTTTCAAATCTTTTTTTTCTATTAGTTTTTTTGGTGAATTTTTTTAGTAAAAAAAATTTCACTATGGTGTTTCAAGCTCATTTTTTTATTCTACTTGTTTTGAATAAAATTTTTACTTTTTAAGAATTTAGAATTCGTAATTACACTAGTGCGAAATTTCTACACATCTTTTGTTTTGGAGATTTTTTTCAATAAAAAATTCCCACAACACTCTTTCAGACGCACTTTTTTTGTTGTTGTTTTGAGTAATATTGTAACATTTTTGGAATTTAGTTTTCGTAGTTACACCATTGAGAAATTTATCCAATTTTTTCGTTGCAGAGAATTTCCAGTAAAAAAAATTTTCACTACACTCTTTTAGGCTTTATAATTTATATTCTCTTTTTTTTAGTAATAATTTTACACTACACGAGTAAAAAATTTCTAAAATTTTTTGAGTTTGGGAAATTTTTTAAGAAAATTATTCCACTACACTCTTTCAAGGTCTTTTTTTATTTTTATCGTAGTTTTGAGTAATATTGAAACATTTTTTTAATTTAGTTTTCATAGTTACATCAGTCAGAAATTTTTATAATTTTTGTAATGGAGAATTTTTTTAGCAAAAAAATTTCACTCCATTCTTCGAAGCTTTATATCTTATTTTCTATTTGTTTTGAGTAATATCTTTAATTTTTTCGACTTAAGTTTTCGTAGTTAGACTCAGCTTAGCAAAATTTTACAATTTTGTCTTTCTATTAAGGAATTCTTTTAATATAAAAATTCAACCGCACTCTTTCAAAATCATTTTGTTTTTATTTTTCTATCTGTTATGAACAATATTT